ACAAACTGTCCATGTATGAGACCAGTGATATGCCTGCACTGGTAGATGCTTTGATGTCAAATGTAGTGTAAATGGTATGCCACTTCTTAGTTTTGTGAGCAGTTTGGTTACAACCATGGCTGTGTGTCATTTAGTATGGTATTCATAATACTGATCTGAGTAGACAGACACATGCCTACAAAAGCCTGTCCTATAAGGTTTTAATGCAACAGTACTCCATCATAGCTGAAGATGGAAATAAAAGATTGTGCTTGTGATCATTGTGGAGGCTGACAACCCCTTCCACACTGTGATGGAGCATTGATGTTTGCCACTGAAGAAAGCTGTCAGAGATTCAGGATGACAATTTTCCCCATTGTGGGAACCAAGAATGATTATTTATGGCATGAGCTTGCTCTAGTTTGGACAAGAGTTCTGATGGAGAGAGAGAAACAAGGGTCTTTCTCAGGCGCAGAATATAGTCTCTTCTGATCCCTTGTTTTTAGTGCTTTATTTTTAGATGTACTATTTTAAAACATCTTGAAATACAAAAATATTTGCTGTATTTTCTAGTTAAAAGAAAACCCTGTTGTGACACAGCATGACTCAATCTTTTTATAGCCACATGGAATACGTGTTGCTTAGGGTAATGTAGAAATAAACAATAATAAAGGCACAAATAAGAAACCAGTATTTGCTATTGTAACAGAAGGAGGAAGGCAGCAAAAAACCTGTTCTTTAAATAAATATCTTAATATTATTGTTTGCTTGGAATTAATAATAGATGTGCTTTAACTGTATCACAGCAAAAGTAATACAGAAAGTATAGGCGGTATTTAGTATGTAGAAAGTATTTTATGTCCCCTCTCTTGGTATTAATGTAGTGATTATCTTAATCTGTTAATGAGTGGGTGTTAAGAGTAATTCGTACAACGTATGAATTAGTTTTTTGGGTTCTTTAGAGTGTTAATTGTGTTGATGGTGGAGATGATGAAGTTGAGGTGGTGAGGCCAGCGCTGCTTGGTCTCTAGCCAGGCTGTGGGTGCCTGTACTTGGTCTCCTGAAGCTGTACGGCTCGGGAGCAGTCGGCTTCTAGCTCACAGGGTCGTCTTGTGACTCATAAATATTATTCTTGTCAGTGCAAAGCAGATCTGATTTTGAGCCTAAAACAGCAAGGAAATGAATAATAACAGCCGACAGCAATGCAGTACACGCCTTTAATTCCAACTTTGCCAGCCCAGGCTTCATTCCCTGTGCAACGTCAGGTGCTGGGTTTGAAGCCTGGTGAGAGCCTGGAGGAGGCCTGGCAGCCAGGTGGTTCAACTCTCCTGTTCCCACTTCTGTGGCTTTTAGCAGGCTGTTGATATGGGTGTTTGTTTTTTTTTTTGTCTTTTTCCTAATCTGCTAAGCTTATCTTTTTTCAGCTGCTTAGGCATTGTTAGTGCTGACACAAAGAGTTCTGCTTGTTTATTTTTGTACAGTTAGATCACATCTTTCACTGAGAAAACCTACCAGAAGCTGATGTCGGTGAACTGCATGGCTGGGCCCAGGGGTGGGCCACAAGGCCTGAGCCTGTCTGTTCACCCAGATCTGACCATGCCACAGGGGAGCTCTGTTCCAGTTACCCAAGTCCTATGCTGCTGCCCAGGCAACTGCTGACATGGTGTGGGGCAGCTCTACCAGCCCTTGTTCTGCCAGCTCTGAAGTTACTGGTCAGTCCCAGGAGACCCAACCTGTAACTGGAACAGGTGGAGGGGAAAAGTGTGTTGTGTGAAGGGCAAGAGAGGACAATTAGCAGCTGAGTGAATTAGTTTGAGTCTTCCTTGCAAAGAAGATTCAGGTTAAGTTGGACACCAGGTAACAAGCTCAGGTGTAAATTGTGCCCAGATTAGAGTACTGCATTTTTATGTGGGTGGTAGAAAGCTCTAGCTAAGACAAAGATCGGATTCTCAAGAAATACACAATAAGAGTAAATCATTAGTGTTTGCAGTGTGGGCAATTGAAAAGCACGGTAAGTTTTAAGTTTTATATGTATATTCTTGACCTTTTGATCTTTTTTTTTCTTGGCCTTTTTTTTTTTTTTTTTTAGTATTTTATTTCAAAACTATTTAAAACCCAGGTAACTCTGTTAGATAAACATGGTTAATAGTACCAGTTGGAAGTGGCTGAACCTGATAAGTTCAGTTTAGACTCTGTAGTCATCACTCAGGCTTAGAAGAGCAAGAACTTGGAAGTATGTGGTATCCTGTAGAAGCAGCACTTGCTGTTTTATTGCCCAGACCAAACAGCTGGTAGCCACTGCATGTGACTGTCCTGCTGGTTTAGGTTCCTGGAGAAGAGAGACTGAAAGCAAAACTTAACCACAGGTGCAGTCATGCACTACTAAAGTTTAGGCTTATTTCTAGATCCTAGGAAGAAGTCTGGGAATAATCTGGTGGTGATTTGCTGCTTCTTTGTGTATCTGCAAGTAAGGCCATGCTTTAAGGGGAAAAAAGTAGTCCCAAACTACTGATAGAAACTGCTGTTTAAAACGTACTCAGCTGTCTTCCATGTTACAGCTTTCATGGATATTTAGGCTGATGCCTTTTTATTAAGTCTCTCTGCATCCTCTTCCATTTGACTGCCTGCGATGCTGTAGTACTCAGATTTGATTACAGCTGCGTGTCAGAGCAGCTTGCAAGGGCTGTGCAGAGCTGCTCGAAGGGCAAGCTGAGATTCCTGGCCCTGCCCCTCTTGCTTGCCTGAGGGTTTGTGTTGCCTTTGGCCTGGTGGTGTCTGTGGCTTCATCCCAGGCAACAACAGTTCCTGACTTAGAAAGCCTGCTGTTCTGCAAATGGCACATGCTTTTCCCACGTGTCCCATGGCTTTGTGAAGACTGCAGTTCTCTATTTATTTTGATACTGCACCTTGTTACCCATTGTGCCAGTTTGTTTTTCCAAGTGTGGTATCACAAATAGCTGATGAGTACACTGAAGGAAATTATGCTTCTTGGTTGGACTTCTGTTTTCTCCAACAGTCTGACCTTCAACTGATATTTTCAGTCACATGTTTTACATCAATTTCCAAAAATTAATTGGTTCCTTCATTTTATCAGTGCTTCCAAATCACTGTATCTATTGTGCAAATATAAAATTGTCAAGGTTCACACAGACTAAGTGAGTTTAAAATTATTATTTTATTGAAGCTCATATAAGGTTGTTGATGTTCAAGAAAATAGCTGAGATTGTGTGGTTTCGGACATATTTACCTCTGCAGTACTATATTTAAAAGCATTCTTTTAATTGAAGTTGTGACTGTTCTTCAGTGTTAGCACTGACGGAGCTCCATCAGGGAGAGCATTGCCTGGAGACCTGATAGAAAACATGTGGAAAGCCTGCAAGTTCTGTGCTGTCTGCAGCAGTAAAATGGGTCTGGTTTTAGTGCAAGTTAATTTAACTGGAGATAAAAACCCAGTTAGTCCTTGGTTTTCCTGTCAGTCGATATGAGGGTAGCCTATAGGCCTGGCTCCGTTTGCTAATGTACAACATGCTTTAAGTCTGCGTCTTCATTAGTTCTTGTTGGGTTTGCTCTGTAATAGGTGCAGGGACGTTTGTGGAAATATGTAGTCTGTGGCTAGTTTAATGAACGCTTTTAGCCAGCTGATGTTAAAATAAGAACCTTGTGCACTGCATTTGTACCAACACCACACATAGGAATGGGAACTGCAAGTGCTTGGTTGTTTGCACGAGGAGACAATTTGGCAGATGTGCTTTTGTTAGTATGGTTGCATTGGTCATTTGCTAGTCTGGAAGTGTGTACACACACAAGTTACATCTCTGTAAATTGCTAATGTCCCATTTCAAAATACTTGGTTGTAGCCAAGGCATTCAGAGTTCCTACTTTTTCTTATTTAATCTGTAAAATGATGCATTATTCTGCAAAATACTTCATAATAATAAGTTGCTTGTATTCTGATGAGTATGACTTGATCCCATAACATGTGTGAGAGCCGTGTAGCTAAATCACATTGTTTGAAATTGTGGTATTAAAAAAATAAGTGGAATACACAAAGTGCCATTTTCTTGGCCACATCTTTCTTGACAGCATACCCATCTTTTCAGTGTAAAATGTGTTAATGCCAGCATCACTAATTTCAGTATTGCATAAACAAGAATTAAAGTATAAAAAGGCAAGGGGGCAGAACTTCGTTAGCATTATCTACCAGGCTACAGAAAATAGGTTTGCATTTGGAGAGCAGATTTATAGCTGGATTCACGACACTGATTGAGACTGGATTTAAATTTGTTTGTGGGTATATCCATAGAACCTAACTACTGTTCAAATCGGTTGGAAAAAACAAACAAACAAACAAACAGATTTTGATTTGATGTGGTACAGCTTGAAATGTCACAATTTTCAGCAGCATCCTGAAATCCTCTAAGTGTGGAGAGAGAATATCTATGTAGATGTCAGTTAAGCCTGGTGACTAACAGATCCAAAGGGACCATTAAGACATGCATCTGACAAGCTGTGGAACATAAGCTGCAGAACATCACCGAATGCTTACTGCATCAGGCTCACAGCTTCTACTTGAGTTAAAGGCAAGTGTGCAAGTTTGGCTTAAAAGACTGTAAAGGATGGAGAAACTGTGCCCAGTTTAATTGTTCAGGTGGTAACTATCTTTGCTACTAATAGTTGTACTGTAGGAGTGTCATTTTTGCATCCTTAGCTTCCAATGACTGCATCTCAGTTGGAATAATTGTTTTTTTTCTGCTAGATTTAGTGATGTCTGGCACCCAAAATCCTTTATGTGTATGGACATTCACAAAACCCTATGGTTTTGAGGGCAGAGTAATTCTTTAATAGTTTAGAGGCAAGTCAGTTGACATCATTTATGCATGCCTTTATATAATGCCTGGAACAAGAAGTAGAATTCAGTGAAAGAAAAAATGTTAGAAGTGGAACTTTGAGTAGGTTGTTTTCAGTTATTTAATGCTAATGAGAAATGTGGTAACCTTTTTGATGCTTATTGTGCTTTCTAGCAGGGCAGCAAAGCACACTACAGATATCACTGGCAGAGCCACAATGTCAAGCACAGTGGAGTGGACGATATGGTCCTTCTTTCCAAAATCACAGAGGATTCCATAGTGGAGAACCTAAAGAAGCGATACATGGACGATTATATTTTTGTATCCTTTGTGTATGTTTTAGTGGGGCCCAGTGCACTTGCTGAGCTTATGTAAAACTAATTACATGTACTGGTTAAGCAGATGACTCAAAGATGCCAAGCATTTTATGTGGCAGTTCACCTGAGATTACATGAAGAAGTTCTTTGTAAACAGAGCTAATTATGAGGATTGAAACTAAGATCTGAAAAAATTATTTTAAAGTATCCTTTTTGATACTTGGAATTGTTCACGTTATTATTCAAGACAGACCTGTAGCTCCATATATTTGTACATCCATGGGACTCCTGAAACTACTGCAGTAATGCAGCTTCTAAGAGCAAGATTTGACAAGCTTAAGGTGTGTATATGTGATACCATATTGGCTTCTAAATCTCCCAAATTCTAGTGCTTTCAAATTAGCATTTCTTCTGTGACATATCCCCATTTACAACTTATTCTGGATTTGTTAATACTGTGAATTATGAGCTGATGTAAACAGGTGAATGTGTGGACATCTGTAAATTTACAGTGTTCACACACACTTGAACTTTTTAATGTGTAATTAAAACATGAATGATTTAAATACCTGAACATATAATCTAACAAGAAAAACAGATCTCAGCACCAAAAGTTTGCTTTTTTTTTTCTTTGAAATTGTGTGTGAAAGGAATTCTTTGAGATAAGAATAGTCATCACATTGTGCATTTTTAGCTTTCACAATGTAGTAAGAGCTGCAGTAAAGGGTTTGGTAAACACTAGTCAATATGATTATATACTAGAAAGTGATACTGCTGCTGCTTCTGCTGTAGCCAGGCTTTCATGCTTCCTAGCTGTAGCTGGAAAATAGTTGCTTTGAAGATTTTAACTTTTTGTAGCATAAAGGGAAGGACATACAATATCTCCTGGCTCTTTCCGTATATTCAGGTGGTTAAGAGCTAAGTAGCAGCTCAGATGAGCAAGGACTGATAGCAGGAAATAAATGTTGCAGTTTTGCTGACATTTCCATCCCAAACTGCAGAGGTTAAGACATGTGTGCACATAGGTTTGGATCGTCTGTTCAGTAACATACCACACCATTGTTAAATTTGCCTTAAATAAATGTGATAAAGTTATACAATATCGGACAAACTGTAGCGCTCTCCCTGTTAGTAACACGAGTGCTTTTGTCCCTGTGGAGTGCTGCATCTTCCATGCAATACATTCACACAGTCTTCAGTGCTCTGTGCTGAAGAAACGGGTTTTATGCCTTTTTTCTTACAAAAATAAGGAAGATTAACATGGAGGTGGTCTTTCCACTGAAGCAGGAATATCTGCGTTTTCCATAAAGCATTATAATTTCTTTGTGTAGGGACAAAAGACTCCATTTACAATTTTTTGAAGGCTTTTCATTCTAAAATGGGGATAATCTCTTGAATCTTTCAATTGTTTTCATGTCCACCCATGAATGAGCATTTCTCTGCTACATTGCATAGAGATTACCAAATCGTCCCAGAAAGTGCTGGTATTGTTTACCAACAGAAAGCTGTCACTTCAAATGTTTATACTGACACAACAAATGCTTCATTTATTATATTCCAGACCCAGATGTTGTCACTCTTCTTTGACTTAAATTAAAAAATGAAGAAAGCGTTGCAAATTAACAGTATAGAAATTCTGTTCACCAAGTTATACTTCTCTAACATGTGACCATTTTGTGCTGCGGCACCACTGTAATAAATTTTTACATAGGATTATCCAGCTGGATAAGCTGGTAAATTTTCCTGCTTCTGTATGGAAAGCTTAGCTTGTAAGTTTGCCAGTGAAAAATTTTGGATCGTTAAATGAAGCCTGCAGTGCAGCGTTCTGGACTCATTGCTACGGGTACACTGCTAACTCTCAGCTCAGTGAACCACTCCTGCCTGTAAGGTAGTATCAGTTGCTTCACATATGTAAACTGCAATTCTAATTCCAAAGGTTTCTGAAGTATTTTATAAAGGTAGGTACATTTGCAACTGAATGCAGAGCTGTGAAATACTAATTCAAAATGTTGCAAAAAAGCTTTCTGGAAGTAATAACAGCTTGAAACTGAGTGTCTCCTTATAGGGAAGCCTGCAGGATAAGACTCCTGTGCACTGTTAATAGTTACATTCATAAAACACCACCACTTACTGAATTACCTAATTCTCTTAGCTGCCCCACGAGTACATGCAGCTGAGAAGTTGTCCAAATGAGCTCAGTAGTGGCTGTTCCCATGTTACTGTGTATGCTCAGCACTGTCTCTGTGAGATCAGAGTACGTTGCTATACTATATTCTTCAAAGGTCAAAATAATCTTTTCTGATGGTGAGGGTACAACTTCCTCAGTTATAAAGGAGTAAAACAGTTTAAATATGCTGTTTGCTTTCTGTGCTTTTACTCAAAATATGTCATGTTTGGGCCTCTAATACATGTTTCTGTACTTAGCTTGTCATAAAATAAATATTTTGGTAATATGAAAGTGTCCCATTTAATGGTACGTTTATATTCTTGTAAACCTGCTAATTTCATTTTTATTAACAATTGTTGTAAGCTGTGGGGTTTTTACTACTATTTGAAGCTGTGCTATATTATGTAATAGATGGAAAAGTTACCTGGCAGTCACTAGTGGTAAGATAATATGTTGTGAAAGTGTAGTTACCTTAACTTCTTTTGAATACAGACGTATATTGGCTCTGTACTAATCTCTGTGAATCCCTTCAAACAAATGCCATATTTTGGGGAAAAGGAAATTGAAATGTACCAAGGAGCGGTAAGTACAGCAGTTTAAAATGTACTGCAGTATTCAGGGGCATGTAAATATTATTCTACATGGTTAAACTCTTGGCAGCATTCGTTTCTGGGTTTGGGTAGCGTTGTATGAGCCTGGGAGAGCTTGGCTGATACCTATTACCATATATTGAGTCTTCAGAGATTGAATTCCCTGGAACATAGGATTAGTATTTCAGGAAAATGCTCGTATTGAGTAACTCTAATCCATATCAGGTTTCTTGACATATACCTTCTTCTGTAAAGGCAGTTTTTAAGCTATTGTATGCCTAAAGTGTGGTGCACAATACGAAATGGCCATTAGTGGATTTGGAGACTTGGAATGTGGGAACTCTCAAAGTGGACAAGAACAATAAAAAAGTTGAGATGCCAAAATTAGATGCCACTTTTGAAAATCAGTTTGAAGAGAGAGCCAGCACAAAGATGTTAGGGAGTTAAAACTCAGTTTCCTGCTCAGTTTGAGTTGGGTGTGTCCATAGAGTTGGCAACCCATTTGGTAAGAATGGACTTAGTGGATGACAGCAACACATACAGAACCAGGCTCTGTGTAGAAGTTTAGGTAGGTTATTGTTAGCATCTGACCACTGGTGAAATAGGCTTAAATAATTTCAGTTTCTCTTGGACAACTAATACATGTCTAGCACAGACTATTGTTAGAGCAGGGTGTTTATGATCATTTAAGAGAAAATGTATGAGAAAAAGATCAGAAACAGAACCCAGAGACCTGGTTTATTAAATGAACAACAGCAACAACAAAATCCTGGGATAATTCAGTATAAAGTGGGATTCAGAATTATTTTTCAGGAAAGTAATTCTTTTACTTCAAAGAAAAATTTATATTGCTCTTTTTGTGTTTAGTCCTGCATAGAAAAATTATTGTCTTATTTCCTCTCCTAGGCACAGTATGAAAACCCACCACATATTTATGCTCTTGCAGACAGCATGTACAGAAATATGATTATTGACAGAGAAAATCAGTGTGTCATTATTAGGTAAGAAAAAGATTTGGAAAAAAAGTATTTTATCATCTTCTTTTTGTGTTTTAGCTTCAAGAAGTGGAAAAGCTTTATTTTTTTTTATTATATCACTGAAAATTTTCTGTGTCCATGACCACTGAACATTTTGGGGGTTTCTAGGATAACAGCTAAGTACTTTCTGACCCTTCCTTTTCCAGTGAAATCCTGACGATACCTTAACCACAAGAAATGTTTCTCACATAGCCAGCTTCATGCCCAATGCCAAAACTGCAATAGCTTGAACTGCCTACATGACAGAGATGGACTAACAACTGTAGCAGGCACAGATACTATTAAATCTAACATTCTCACATTCACTGTGTTTACCATACTCTGGCTTTAGTACTATTTTTTTTTTCCCATGTCTGTTAAAAATAAATGTACTTTAGTTCCTTTTGGTATTTTGTTTGCATTCAGTCAGAGACAAAAGGATCAGAGGGATACTGGAAAATTAATTCTGTCTTCACTATTAATCTATTTTAATTACTAGGCAGAGGGAATTCACTATAAAATTACTGCTGAACTTTTAAAATGCTGAGCATTACTTAGGTCACAATCAAAGTGAGTTTTGGGTCCAGAGGTATGCTTTATTCTCATCTGGTGGGTTTATAGACAGGGTATGACAAAAGAAAGTGTACGTAGAGCAAGAATTGTACAACAGGCCTCTTCTGACTTCATTTCTTACATAGAGAACTTCAGAAGTTCACTGTAGTATACCTGGTGCTTCACTTTACCTGTGGCAGTGGTCTTCAGAGTGGGGTGTGTGCATCACAGGGACTCTCTGCAGTGAAATCCTGGGATGTGGGAAGAAAATATTTGCCCTTCTGTAGTAGATGTGTGGAATTTGTAAACAGATAAATTATATACACATATTAGGAATGTATGCTCAGGCATTTTTTTAATGATGGTGTGTGTGATCAAAAATTTGGAGACAACTGGCCTATGAGACTTTACCAAGAACTAGGTAAAGGAAAGAAGAGAAAAAGAAAAAAAATTGAAGGGAAACTGTCAGTATTCTATTAATTAATAAGTTCTATTTATAAACAGATCTAAAAGGCTCCATCTGGCTTATGGAGCACATGAAGTCTGAGGAATGGAGACACAAGGATGGTGGGGAAGGGGCTGTTGCAGAACTGTCTTTCTACAGCATGAGGTTTGGGCAGCTGTAGCATCTGCCTCTGGACCTGGGAGGGGACACGCATTCCTGGAGACTAGCCACAGGCTTCCAGGCAGGTGAAGGAAGGTCCCTGCAGCACCCTGCTGTAGTCAGAACCATGTGTTTAGAATTGCAGGGCCAGGGAAGCCTGTTTCATTAGCAGGGTAATTGCAGCATATATGCATGAAGAGAGTTACTTGTATGCATGTCCAATTATAGCTGAGGAGTCACAAGCAGTTTTGCACGGCTGTTAACAGTGTAAACGCTGAGGTTACTCAGGGGCTGGATCCTGGCTGGGATGAAGGCAGGTGCTGAGTGTGCTTAGGTGGAGAGCAGGGAGCAGTACCCACAGTCTTCCTCCCTCATTTTCTATGCACTGGGCGAAATCATGAAGAAAGTTTACTCCTATGAGTAACGCAGTTGTGCTGGAGTTTGATTTCTCATGAAGTTTGTTTTACTGAGGTATGGTATTTATTTTAAGCCTTTGTTAAGCCAAACTCCTAAGTGTACTACAGCAGACTGTTTGCATTTCTTCCGTGCTTGAAATGGCAGCCCTTCCAAATGATCAACAGGGAGTTGTCCAGTCAAGATTTTAATTACGAAGGATTGTCTGTTATGCCTTCTAATTCCTTATGGACTGTCATTGCCCTTTAATTAACAGAGTGGAGGTTATGATTAGTATTTTTCTATTATGTAGCAATAAATGTGTTTCTTTGGCTTGTTCTTAAGGTTTTACTTTTCTATAAAGTTGAGGTCTGTGTTTTCACTTTCTTACTGTGATCTCAGCCAGGAGATATTGTAGATGCATTAAAGCAGTTTTTCAGTCCTTCTTATTTGTAATTTTAGTTTACATTTTACATCCATGTGGCAATGCTTGCATGCAGTAAAGCTATGTATGATAACTGTACACCTGAAAAGATAACACAACTTAAATATTAGAAATACATGTAAATGGAAAGATCAATAACCATCCCAGCTGGTTTTAGTGAGCAGCTCATGTCTACCTTAAGTCTATTAAGCTCAAAATTTAATACGAGATTTCTAATCAGTTTCTGTCTCTGAACTTTCCAGAAGACTCAAATGTCTGTACAGAGTCTAGCTGAAAATATAGTTGAATTCTAATGAGGAAGTGGTAGAAATGCAGTAAGGAAAGTTAGGTACAAGCTCTGATTCAGAAGGCAAAAATACTTCACTGAAGTTATGCTACTCAGATTTCTCTGAATGTGGTCAAAGGATGTAAATTTTCTGTGTAATCAAACTAAAAAACTTATCCAAACACATCAAAGTATTTGACATATGCAGCGTTCTTGACTGGCAGATCCGAGACTTCTTTATAAATATTTGTCACTAAAATTCCTATATTATCATGTAGGTAAATATTACTTATATTGTTCTATAGCCAAGGGTACTATATTAAATGTTACTCAGAAAATTAATTTTAGAGAGAGTAACGAGGCTGTGTATTGGATCTTGCTTCTCTACTCTATTCACTGGTTATATTTCCTCTGGGAAGAAAGGAAGGAAGGAGCAAAAAAGTTTTCCCCTTTGCATATTTAGTCTTATTCTGATTTCAGCTAAGTGTGAAGTGACTTTGAACAAAATGTCACTTTTCTGAAGTAGTAATTAGTGCTAGAAGAAACAATACGTCTTTCAAAGCATTATCTTTTTTGCTAGTGATTGAGGCTATGTGATGGTTTTAGTAAGAAAAGCCTCTGAGAAAATTGTCAGTACCACACTCCACTTACTTTAAGCCATTATAATAATATTTTCAACTTTTAAAAACCGTTGTATTTCCAACATATTTAAAACTATCAAGCTAGGAAATTATTCTTACACCTTCTTAAAATAGTTTTAATAGCAGGAAGATGTATGTGAAAAAGCTTCTGTATCAAAATGATTTTGTGGGAATGCTATAATTTTCCTGTTGCAGTTGATTACCTGAGCTTTACTGTGGGCAAGATACCATCCCATTGGATAAAGTTACTTTGATTCATACGTAATGCATCATCCTATTTTATTCTAGTCTAATTGGAGCAGTTTACTGGTCTCTGATCAATAAAAGCATAAACCTGAAAGAAGTGTATGCATGCATAAATCTAAAGCAAACTCTAAAAGGCAGGCAGTCTTCCAGGTGAATCAATTTAATATAAAGGACCATTTATATCAAAACAGACTAGCAATAAAATGGAACTGTATTCCTCCAGGTCAGTTTCCATGGAAGACACTATGGAATGAGAAGTATGAGCCACACTTAATTTGAGCAATGAGGAGAAGGATAATTTATTCATCAAAGAAACACTTTGAAATGTGTGACTTTTTACTGCGTAATAAATAATACCTGATCAAACTCATTCAGTGTTCAGCCGCAGATCCTGCTCTGTATTCAGTTGAAGACTACATATACAAACCCAACAGTATGATTTGGTTCTGGTTGGTTTGCCTGCCAAGTTTTGCAACGGGATGAACAAGTTTGCTGGGAGCAAATTGTGAGCCCTTCAGTATTTCTGTATTGTTTGGAAGCTTTGAAGGTGTAAAATGATATTTGCAGCTTGGCAGTTTGAGGAGTTTTTACGAACTCAAACCTTTGGAAATGTCTCTGTCGCTCCTGCTGATAAGGAGCTCTGAGTTGACAATCCCAGTAAGTCCTTTTCCTGTGCGGGACATGCTGATGTTTCTCTGGCAAACATAGCTAAAATTTGTGCAGGAAAAGATGTGAATTTGCTCCATATCCAGGAACAAGTAGGTGCAGGATGGAAGAGTCAACAACATTCACTGAAAATGTTCAGGAGCTTAAAGACAGCACAGGTTTTCACACAAGAAAAAAATACTTCTGATATCTTTATGACATTGAACCAATGTCTGTGTGTTGATTTTTTGTATTAGTATAGTTGTCCAGGTAAGGGTAAATTAATTAAGGTCAAAGCTGACTTGCACCAAGATTTATGTAAGTCTGGAGGAAAGCTGTTAGCTTTAAGGTATGAAATAGAGCACGAGGTTGGATTGTCTGGTGTGCCAATCTTCTTTCCTTCTTGAGAAGTTTACTAATCATGAGAAGGCAAATACTAATGCTGTAAACATTATTTTTTCACCATTGAAGTGAGATATTATAAAGGAAGGAAGGAATTGTGAAAGCCAGTATGGAGTATTAAGACTTCTTGTACCCTGTGTCAAGAGGCATAGGAACAGGAAGGTCATTCTTCCGTCATTCAGGATGTGATTAATAATGTCTCATTATTTCATTCAGGAACACCTAAAACAAAAGATTCCTGAAATGAAGTAGGTATCTGGCATGGCATTCTAAGCTGGGGTTTATGAATGAGTTTTTGTGTTAAGATCTGAAATATCACTAAATTTAGATGGGAATTGAGTTCCTAACATGTTCTCTTTGAGCATCTTGCTTTAAGTATATTTATTTCTTAGTTCACATAGTTTTCTGACTTTGAAGTTCCATAGAGATTCTGGTGTCCGTGCAGGATGAAGTATCCCAAAGTATTAATTCATAAACATGTCCAAGTAGCATGCTACAATACTATATCACAGTCTAGATATTAGCAGCCTAGCCGATGTAAATATGGTGTATATTTATTATTAGTCTTTGTTTAAGGTGCCTAGTCTTATTTGAATAAGATGAACCTCAAATTACTCTATTCTGGATATTTTAAAACTAAAAGGTACATTTTTGTGTTTCTTTTCTTGTAGTGGGGAGAGTGGTGCTGGAAAGACTGTAGCTGCTAAATATATCATGAGTTATATCTCCAAAATTTCAGGAGGTGGCCCTAAAGTACAGGTGAGTTGGTACAGAGCGATACTAAAGCATAAGCACAGGCTAAAGATTGACTTCAGAGGCAGGATGACAAAGGTATGTCTTGGCAGACACTGGCAGTCAAGAGGCGCTCTACCACAGAAGTTTGTGGGTGAGCAGCTAGAAATGGAAGCCCTCAACAGCAGAGAGACAACTGAAGTGGACAGTGAGCTGCTTGCTTGCAGATTACTGGGCTGCTGGTGTGATGGGAGCCATGTGAGGGAAATCCAGAGACCCAGAATCATCTCTTGTAACTCTCATGCCGAGTTATGTCTACAAACAGGTTTTTTAGTTAAGATGTAAAAGGTACTTTAATTATTATTCTTATCCAGATTAAGAATAACCACCAATCTCCTTTTAGCAGATGTGTGGTTTTTGCCTCCTGTGTTGGCATTCTATTGAAAACAGAACCAGCTTTTAAGATTTTTATTGCTTTCCTTATGTCTCTGATTTGTATGCGTACGTCACAGAGCCAACAGGAGGAACATTGTCTTGTTTTATGAAGTTACCTAGTCAAAAGAAGAGTATCTGAAAACTAGCTGAAACAACAGATAGTTGCTTTTGTTGCTAACTATACTATCAATGTCTGCTTTATCTAGTGAAACCTATAAACTAAAGCTAATTGACAGAATTAGCTGTAAAAAATTCCCTTCGTGATGTTACAATGCCATACTGGCAGGCAGTGGTAGGCAGGAGCTGCTTTTACCAGTCCGCTCTTTTTGAGTGCTTGCTGTTATTTTTTGCTTTATTGCAGTCTCTGATGTTGAGATCTTCTTTCTGCTTAGTTTTGCACAGCAGTGATACTGGAAATATTGCAGAGAATTAATTCGGTAACCAACAGAACGGTCCAAAGAAAATGTGCATTGTTTTACTTTTGGAATAAATATAATCATACTTTACAAGTAAATATTTTCTTTTAGTTAAAAGATTCCAGCTTTTGTACAAAATTTAAAAAATATTCTTAGTGATTATGGAGTAAGAGTTGAAGAAGTTGGTAAGTTGCCGTTAGTATTTCTTTTGAATTAAAATTCAGTCTTCTCTTTACAACCCAGCATGCACTGGGTTTGTTCCAAAGCTAATATCTTGTGCATACTTCCAAGTCCTAGGATCAGAAAAAGAGACAGTAGTAATACACTTTCTTGCTTTCTAAGACAGCAAGATAGCAGCATCACTGATCCCGAAGCAGGTTGCTGAAGCACTTGCAGATTCCTAAAAAAATTTATGCTGCACCTGATTTCATTGGTTGTGGTTCCAGACCCTCAAAAAGATGTAAATTTTCATGTGTAAGAAGGAGATTGTTTAGAATCAGGATGATGAAGGAAACAGATCAATTTATTTGCTCTATTTCTTGGCAGACCAGTGAACAGAAGAAACAGTTTTTAGCCTGAGGCATTTTGTTCAATTTTATAGGAGTTTCTTCAAAAAACAGGAACCAGAAGCTCTGGGGAAAAAAAAAAAGATGGTTACATTCTACTCCTTATCTAATCAAGAAGATTTTTTACAGATGCAGACCTTCTTGCCTTTTTCATATATAATTTACATGCCATGATTTTCAACAAAATCTGTAAGAATTTTAAAAATATCTCTTTCTGATTCTCTCTCCCCCTTGTTTCCTAAACTTACAGCATGTTAAAGATATTATTCTACAATCCAACCCTTTACTGGAGGCCTTTGGAAATGCAAAAACTGTACGGAACAACAACTCCAGCAGATTTGTAAGTCCCTCTACCTCAGAGACTTATTCTTCCAACTTCTGTGCTGTTACAGAGACAGTATTCAGGAGTATAATATAAACTGACTACAAAGTAAATCTAAATACAATGCAAAGCATGTTTTAAAACACAAAGTATACATTGAGAAGCCTCTATTTCAGGTTGCACAGTTGTTTCTGTTACAGTATGTACAGGTCACTATTTATAGAATGTTCAGTCTGCAACCAAATAACTTATCAGTAACAAACCGTCCAGTTTTCCAGATCAGCTAAATATATGCAGTAATATATGTTTAAAAACAAATGAGTTAATAAATTTTCCAAAATTGCTTAAGCCATCCTTAGAGTAGTTTGATGAGAAACACTTTTATTAATATGTACAAAAAGTAGGCAGGAATTACTTTCAGTCTGTCATTCTAAAATACTCAGGGTAATCTTGTGAAGTGACTGTTCACTAGGTAAGTTACTGTAGGGTCTGTTTTTAAAAGTTACACGTAGGCTTTACAAATTTGAGATTTGTTCCTCAGCCACCATGAGTGTTAATGCAATTACCATCTCCATGAAGGAGAAAGATGATGACTTTACCTTGCTTCCAAGCAGAGCGCTGTTTGCTGTTGGTCATAAATCTGTGACATTTACTTGAGCCTTATGGTTTCCTTTATACTGCAAGGGTCTCGGCGGTGAGAAGAAGCCACTGACCTCTTCTCTGCATTAGCATTAACCCATGATGTACTATCCTGAGTCTAGCACTGTGCAAATGCAGAAAGAAAGAAAGATAGATGGGTGATAGTTCAAGAATCTAAGCTGAGGTTGGTTATACCTTGAGGCAGCTGTGTCACTGCATCCATAAAGATAAAATATCCTAGTAACCTTCCTTGAGATATGGTACAAGTGCATGATTTAGATTTGTATTTACTCATCATTCAACAGCTTTCATTATTTATTCCAGGGGAAATACTTTGAAATCCAGTTCAGCCCAGGTGGAGAACCAGATGGAGGGAAAATCTCCAACTTCCTACTGGAAAAATCACGAGTTGTAATGAGGAATCCTGGAGAGAGGAGTTTTCACATATTTTACCAGGTCAGAAGCATATAGGTCCATTCCAAGTTATTTAAAATAAGTAGGACCATTTTTTTCCTATTGCTTGCAGAGTTCTTCCTAACACAATGAGATTACTGAATGTGTACTCAAAAAGGTAATCTGGGTATCACTGGGAAGCATGTTAAGATACTATCTAACATAGACCTATCTGCCTAGCTGCCTTTCAGCTCCAGAATAAAAGTACTTAAGTATTTCAAAGCCCTTATATGTAAATTAACTGTGACTTCCCATATGGAGAAGTCCAGCAGAATATAATAGAAAATGAGAGGTTTCTTTTTAAACTGGCCTATATAATGATGACTTCTGCTCTGGAATTCCATACCCAGCTGTGAAAGAGAGATTTGATTCTTAATTAAGTTTCTAGGACATGTAGGAAAATACCTATTTATCCAATCCTCTAAGCACACCTGCTTTTTTTTTGGTGTTTCAAAAGGCTTTTCTGTTCTTTGACATGAGTTCCTTACCTGCTGAAGTGCTGCTGATCAAGCTCTACAAAACTAGAGTAAAGGCAGTGCGTTGTAAGTGACTGTAAGCAGCTTCACAGAAAGCTGAAATACCATTGCCAGGATGGAAAGCTGAGCTGGAATTGTGCCAGGAGCTGTGCATTCTCCTCTTCTGAGGTATATGAACAATTTGCACTGTCCTGCTCATTTTTCTCAGTGGCTTGGAGAGGCTTTTTGACACAATTAAAAAAAAAAAAAGCCAAACTTAAAAATTAAAATTTTGTATCTTCTTGCTTCGAATGTTCTCTTCTGAAGTTAGTGTGTTTGCTCCTTCCTATTGGAGCCATGTCTGTGCACAACTGCTTAGACTTTACAAAGGTCTGAGGAGCCCCTCCTCTGGCATCACAGAGTACAGGAACCCTTAACCACTCTGTTATTATTCTTGGCCCCGTTGATGTACATGATGCAAAGAGGTGTGACTTGAGACATGCTTCAAATCAACATAATATTGGAGCAGTTCAAAATTTGCTTAACATATGCCATAGCGTCCGTAAAGGATACTTGGTCTCACAATTAAAGTCACAAGTACGTTCTTAGTACGTTCTTTCAACTCTGCCTACCTACACATCACTCCTGAGGATTTAGAGAGCACGTTGCAGATGGAAAGCCTGCTTTGCCTTAGCTTCGTGAGGTAAAGATAACGGCAGGCTTTCAGCTCGGCCACAGTTTTGCTTTATATTAGATGTGGAAGTTGGAACTAAACCACTCATGGGAATGAGCATCTGGTCTTTTGTGTTAAACACTTAGAAAACACAGGCAGGATACATACCTGGCACAGCACCATCTCTATCTCTCCCAGTAATTTGAGACTCAAGTCATCTGTTTCTTACCTACCTCATCTCTACTGAAGATTGTTGTGTGATACCTAATCTGGGGGATTTTTATTCTGCAGCTAATTGAAGGAGCCTCCTCAGAACAAAGAAGTAGTCTGGGCATTACCAGTATGGACTACTATTACTATCTGAGTCTCTCGGGGTCCTACAAAGTTGATGACATCAATGACAGATCTGATTTCCAGGAAACACTGGTGGGTTTTTTTACTCCATGATTTGCATAGTGCCAGGTGTGTGTTCATTTCACTGTCCATTTGTACCAAAGACATTGATGTGTTCATGTGGGAATGAGAAATGAATTTAGATACAACTTACATTCTGTTTTCCCCTGAGGAGTTATTTTACCTTGAAGAGGCCCCTATGTTGCAGCCTAACAATCCAGAGAAGACAGATACTTTTTATGGAAAGGCATTTTTTCTGTTCGTTCTTCTTCAGAAGGGTGCAAATTTAATGCAACTCAATTGAACGCAGATAATCTGCAGTATGAAAAACATGAAAAGGCAAGTGCAGTGAGGAACTTCCATTACAGGAATATCTAAGAGAGTGCCCTGTTTTAGCTGAATTCTTGGTGGTGACAGATCTTCCACATCTATTTTAAACCATGCAACTGAAATGCTGGAGAAAAGAACTTAGAAAGCATAGATCAGGGATTGTTACTGACTGCTGTTGCCAGTCCACTGGATGTACTTTATGTAAATCATATCAACTTGCTGGTTGCCTGTTATTAGAAATTTACTATTTAAGATAAGCATATTAACACATCATCTTATTTATATCTGTAGCACATTTAAAAGCCAAAAAAAATTGAAAAATAGTTACTGTTGAATGCTAGCTAATTTGGTATTTTAGGAAAATGGGCAGTTGAGAAGAATTTCTCTAGGTTCTCGGTTACCATGTAGTGCAGACTCCAAAACCCAGTGTTGTTGTGGATTATTTTCTAGTGAGTGGCTGAAATGTACAACTTAAGCCAGATAGAACTGTGCTGCTTTTTAGAGTCCTTCAGTACAGCTTCACAGTTCTCACTCTCAGTGGATAAACTGTATGTGTAGAAGGAATTGTCTTTTAAAGTTAATTTTTTTTCCCATTTTGCAATGAAACTATTTTTAGTGTGACATTTAAGAGCAGGTACTTTTTTTTTAATAATTTTAATTTCTCTGGATTTTATTTTGCTAATACGTCTTCTAAATGCTGTAGATGCTTCTGCATTTCATTTTAAAAAAATACAGAAATGCTAAAAAAGGTCATCCAGTACCTTTTGAAACTTCAGTGCAGGCTGTAATGAAATTTGGTTGCCTTAGGTATTTTAACTGTTTTGAAAAACTCAAAATCTTAACATCAAAATTTTAAAAGAACTTTTATGACAAGATCAATTGAACAGATTCTTTGACTGATTCAACCTTTTTCTTCGTCTTCCCAGCATGCGATGAGTGTGATTGGGATCTTTGCAGAGGAACAGGCATTGGTGCTACAGATAGTGGCAGGAATACTGCATTTGGGAAACATCAGCTTCAGAGAAGTTGGCAACTATGCAGGAGTGGAGAGTGAGGAGTGTAAGTACCTCTGGAAACTGTTACAGGAGTAGAAATGAGCTGAAACCCAGCTGGTGTAAAGTGAACTGCAGTCTTGAGCTGCTCGTCTTAACACAGCGCACCAGTTCTAGTGCGAGGCTGCTGATAGGAATTCTCTTCCAAAACTAATGGTACTGAGGCCCTTCTTCTGTCTGGTCTTGTACAATGCCACTGACTTAACAGGAGCGCAGTGGTACAGAACCTACTCATAAACATACTGCATTTTGAGGAAGGCAGAGAAGAAATAGCAAAAGGCTACTATGATTTCTGCATTATGAAGTTGAAAGTTGGGTTTGTCTCTTTCCATTAAACCTCCCATGAGTTTACTGTGCATCCTAGACAACTAAATAGTAAAGCATTTATAGTGTGGATAACCACAAAAGATGAAACACGACAAAAGACTCCTGACAATTCTTGCTTTGAGTAAGTCTGAAGTAATAGAAAGTTTCAATTTGGTCAATAGTGTTCTTGTTAATACATAGCAAATTGCAGAAACACATGCAAAGGCCATTCTTCAAGACAGCAAAAACTGTAGTCTCTTACTATGAGTCAGAATCCAATCTATACAGCCCATTCTTGACACCCATTTAGACAAATGCTTCTTTAAAACTGCCAGTGATTACTATTTGCTACAGTGCTTGGTTATATTAATTGCTGAATCATAGACTTCTTTGGTTTGGAAGGGACCTTAAAGATCATCTAGTTACACTCCCCCTGCCATGGGCAGGGGCACCTCCTACTAGTCCAGGTTGTGCAAGGCCCTATCAAGCCTGGTCTTGAATCCAGTGATGGAGCCTTGACAACCTGCCTGGGCAACCTGTTCCAGTGTCTCACCCCTCTCAGAGCAAAGAACTTAAAAAATGTGAAGAATTGTACAGAGCTATATAAAATAGTGAAGAACCTGAAAAAACATACTCATTGTTTATTCTAAATCTTCCATGTTGGAAATCATGCCAAATACTACTTGTTCTCTGCTGGATACAGGAAACAGTTTAAAGCACCCCTCTTTACATTTGCATGGCACTGGGAAATTGATTTAGACTTTCTGGAAATCAGTGAAGGGAACTCAGTCTTTTTCAGCTTTCCTTCAGATTGTGTTTAAAACTATTCCACAGAACGCTAGTGATTAGTCTTTGAGGGTAACTTTTTCAATTACATGCATATCCTGCTTCACAGTAATTTCTGGACAGTAACTTTGTGGTTCCTAACTTGGGAAAAATAATTGGGCATCTTAAGAATGTGGAAATACATCAAGTCGTGACCAGCTATTCTGCCTTTGCAGTGAACCATTAGCACTGTGAAGGAAGGGTTTCTGAGGTATGCATGGTGGTTCTTACCATTATACTGTCCTCATAAATTCTTATGGTAGTATTGGGTAAATACTTATTCTGGCATCTTTACAGTATTTGTGAGCCTATTTGGTCTAAAATTACCTACATCCTTTCCATTTTAAAGCATATGATGTTTGACCTCTCCGTGTACCCCTCAACATGAGTTCCCAGAGATGTTGCCAGTGATTCAACTTTGATTAGTTGTGTGGTTCCAAATATGCTAGGGTAAATTTAATCAGCTTGCTGACAGTAACAAATCTGATTTCAGGAAGCTGGTGATTATTTGCAGCTTTTAAAATTATTTTGGATTAATGTACTGAAGGGTTTAGCAAAACCATGCTGCGATGTTACAGATTCATAAAGCACAAGTAGCCACTGCCCTAGTGATTATTTTACATCCGCCTCACACCAGTAAAGTAGATCTGAAAGCAGTGGGACATGGAGGAAGCACTGTTGGAGGATGATGTGGTTTAGTGGAGGTGCAAGTACCAACTCCCAATAGCTGCCCTTGGGAGCTATTTCCATATGCTTTCAAGCCGTTTCTCTTTTTCCATTCCTTAAGGTGTGTGACACCTGCAGCTAACATGAGCACCATGTGCTAAGAGTGCAAAGAATACTCGTCTTGTGGCTGCTTACTGTACAGCTGTATTTTTCGGCTTTACTTTTAAACAAGGGAAACCAGAATTTGCAAAGTACTTCCAGAATAAGGGATTAAAACGCCCTGATAAATGGCAAGGCAATTGAAAACTTTTTGCAATATTCTAACTTAGAAGAACAATCAGAAAGCAGATAGCATGTTCTTTATTTAATGTGTGAGCTCTGTGTTTTATATCAACCTCCTCCAAGTGTGATTTGTTTGAACCACAAAGTTAAAAACCATGACCTAAGCCAGCTTACACGTTTGAAGGACTGAAGGTACAGAAATTATTATTTTATTCCAGGGTGGTTTATCTTCATTGAAATCTCCGTAAATAACAAGTTGAAAATGTCCTCAGGGAAATTTCGAAGACCTAACTCCCTCTGTTTGTTTTTAAGCTGCATGCCCTATAAGGTTTATTTCTGCCGCTTGTTATTAGAGATATAGCTAATTTTTTTCCCTTCATTCTGTATTGGTTTAGCCTGTAAGTCATAATCCAGCAACCTTGATCTTTGTTGCAGTTTTGGCTTTCCCTGCTTTTCTTCTGGGAATTAACCAGGACCGCCTAAAGGAAAAACTGACCAGCAGACAGATGGACAGCAAGTGGGGAGGCAAATCTGAGTCCATTAATGTAACACTAAATGTGGAACAAGCCTGCTACACCAGGGATGCACTGGCCAAGGCCCTTCATTCCCGTGTTTTTGATTACTTGGTGGACGTAAGTTGGATTCTTGATTCTACTGAAGTATCAAACCAAGCACAAGTACACTAGGAATGTTCCTCGCAGTGCTTTTCTTGTCTGTGATTTCTTTCACCTAGTATGCTTCTTTGTCTAAACCTTAGCAGCAGCATTGAGCGGTGCAATGGGAGCATGACCACAGGTAGCAAATACAAGGCACTGATTATCTGACAAATGTTGCACTTTCTTTGAAGAAAGTGAGCTGCACTTTCAGCACTATATTTGCAGTCTCCTACCACTGTCCCATCTGATGTTCTGGCATCTCCTTCCTGTCAGCATCCGTACTTCTCCGAGTCTCACGTTCTCCTACATTGTCACGCGTTTCAGATGAGCAGAATTAGTGGGTTACGGTCCCCTGCTCTCTTACCCCACTCCTCTGCAAAGATGCCCTTCAAGCATCCCGATGTTGTGGCATTTGAGCAAATGGTAAAATTCCCTTCTCCATGCTCAAGTACTCTTGTTGTTCAGAATGAGACCCTGGGCTGGATTGCTGGGTAGAAAACTTACCCTTGGCCATAGATGCTGGAATGGCAAAAGAGCAGTCTTCTCTGTGGTGGCACCGCTAGCGTGTCAGAAGTCTCCTGCATCATGAGAGCTCTGTAATTCCCAGTATGTGCCTGGACGAGCACTAACACTACAAAATAGAGAAATACAGAAGTAGGTGAAAAGATTCATGGTACTGTCTGCAAAATGCATCAAATATCAAGCTTAAGTATGTTCTTTTTTTGTTGGCTCCTTTTCTTTAACTGAGCCAGTTACACCAAAGCTGAAAGATTTTTTTCAAACGGTAGATCCAAAGGCTCACTAAATGGGAAAACAGGATAGCACACTGTTCATTTCCTAGCTGTTAATAGCTCTTTATTATAAAGTGAAAGAAAAATACCTCATGCATATATTTGTATTCCAGTCAAATATGTTCTTTTTGGGGAAACCATGTATCTTCATATAAGGATTTAATGATATGATTATGTATTTTAACTCTGTAAACTACAGTTTGTTTTACATTTTGTTTCTGTTTTATTAGTCTATTAATAAGGCTATGGAGAAGGACCATGAGGAATATAACATTGGTGTCCTTGATATTTATGGCTTTGAAATATTCCAGGTAAGGCAATGCAGCATTCTGAGCTGATCTGGCCTGGGAGAGTGTTTTTTGTTATTCAGAGGGGAAAAAATCCAAAACAGAAAAGAAACAAAGTCTGTGACCAGAGTAAAAGCAAAAAAACCCCACGGCATAATAATCAAACAAACAAACAAACAAACAAAACCAAACAAAAAAAACCCCACACAAACAAACAAACAAAAAAACCAAAAAAAAAAAAAAAAAACACCAAAAAACAAATGACCCAGCTTCCTGAACACCGAGTTCTCACTGTTAATGTCTCACTTAGTAAGCACAAAGTATTGAAGAAACTTCAAAGAAACTATGTAATTGATCTTAAAAAAGCTGAGATTACACAGAATGTCTATAAAGTCAGCAACCCATCCATCACTGACAGTGTTTCTTTGAAGCTTATTGCCAGCATAACAGTTAAGAATTACTGTATACAAAGCACAAGACTAATTTTTGCTTCCTTTTCTATAGAAAAATGGTTTTGAACAGTTCTGCATCAACTTTGTTAATGAGAAACTACAGCAGATATTTATTGAGCTGACACTGAAAGCAGAACAGGTAACCAGACATTTATTATTTTTGAATTAATAAAGGAGCTCTTGCTTTTTCAATAGCTGGAAGAACAGAGGTTTTATCATCTAATAACAATAAAATTTGCCCTGTTAAGCAACACAGAGAAAAAAGCCACCTTTCTTGTTGGTTAACCCTGAAACTGTAAACCAGATCAGCTGCAGACATTTGTTCTCTACTACAGTGGCACAGGAGCGAGCGATGCAGTAGCACAGTCATGGGATTCTGCCCAGCCTTGCTGCATGTTCTGACTCATTGACAGAGAAGGAAAACTGCAGTTGGGATCCATCCCGGCACTTTCGGTGGATGCCTCACAGTTAAATGAGAACACTTTTCTCAATTTCATCCACATTTTTTTTTTTTTTTTTAATAATAATGAATTAAATAGATTACTGAGATGAATGCAGAAATACTTCTAGAAGTATTTGCAGTTCTCTGCTGGGTCTTATTGCAAAATCTAACTTTGCATGAATGTGAGCTTCTGCATGCGAGGGCAGACAGAATGCAGCTGAGACGGAAGCATTGTGTCCAGTATGAGCTCAGGCTTGGCACTAACTTTAGGACAGTGTTTTCAAGAATACACATACACAATTGCCTTTGTATAGAAGTAACTGATTATTCCATTTGAGCATGCAAATAACCTGCTAAATGTCTACTGAACTCATATGTACACAACTGAGTGAGTCAATTTAATAAAATTTTAGTATGAGTTTTCCTCCCAGTTAGTCTCTATATGTCTTTATAGATACAGTAATTGTGTACAGAAATAAAAAGTAGAACTGTGGCTCCATTTCATGTGCATTTCTAAATGTGTTATTTTTGAGGGTCTGATCCTTGATAGGCCTGTCAAACTCTTAGTTTTTAAAATAAATTAGGATGCTTAGGTACACTGTCAATATACTAGAAAAGTCACTTTGTTATTATTTTCAAAGTACTGACACTAGAAGCACAAATGAAGTGTTCCTGCTATTCTCAGTAACTACTTGAGGGCTACAAATGACAAAAGAAAGCTTGAGAACAGAGAAGGATTTGGATCATCTCCCAGGTTGTAGGGAGCTGGATATAACTCTGATTAGGGTAATTTGTCCCACCTCCTCCCAGTCATACGTTTGACAAGTCTTTCTGAATATGAGTAGTACAGAGTTTGTATATGTAGTGCACTGAAAATCTAGTGCTATAGCCGCAGTGCAAAGGAATATCTGCATCTTTCTTTTTACTTAACAGGAAGAATATGTGCAAGAAGGAATTAGATGGACACCAATAGATTACTTTAACAACAAAATAGTGTGTGACCTTATAGAGAACAAAGTGGTAAGTATTTAGAACAAACAGATGGAAAAAATCCAACAAGATTTTTCTCTAAATTATTTGGGCAACTGCTTTGCCGTCAAATGTTCGTAGGAAAAATGCAAATACTGTTGTTCAGTTACTGAGTCATACTAAACCTATATATAGATCTTACATAAGATGTCTTAAAAGAACTCTAAGACGTATGTCATCTAAGGTATATGTTATTTAAGATATCAACCATAAAGAGAGCCATAAGATAGCATGATTGATCTTTAACAAAGAATACAATGATGGAAATTAAAATTTTATCCACCTAAATTTATCACAAACTTCATGACACTTTACTGAACATCAGATAAGGCTTTCTGTGTTCCTGAGAGATGTATTTCAGTTTGGGGAAGCTACAACACCATCTTCCTTTGAGGTACCGTCACAAGTGAAAAAAAAAAGTGTAAAGCAGAAACAAGTGAAGAGGAAGTATTGGGGAGTGTTGTAGGTGAAAGAAATTTTGTCTTTGCTCCATGGAATGTTTTGCAGTTTAAAGTTAAAGTCTTTAAGTTCTGATTTGGGGTGACAAGAAATGTTGAGTTGTCCTTTAGGTGAGAAGTAGGATGGTTTTCAGCTAGTATGTAATTTTAACATCAGTTCTAGTACTCTGATGACTTGTGCTTAAATGCAGAACAGATTTTGCCCATTTCTTATCTGTATCAAGATAACTAGGAGGATAGGATTTGTCAGAGTTTTAGATATTGAACTCTTAAGTTGGCAAACTACAGCATGTAGTTGAAATACCTCAGACAGGTTTATTTTTCGGTGGAATGAGAAGGGCTATTGCTTTGTGAATGAATTAAAAACTGGGTATTTTAAGGTTTTGTTTTGATTTTTTTAAGAGCAATTATTTTTCTCCTCATTTCCACACAAAGTGGCATCTCTTCTTGTCCTTACATGCTTGTGTACAAATTAATCTCTGTGGTGAACAGTACTGATCAGGGGTAAATTCTTCCTGCTGCGACTTTGCTCTCGTATTTTTCTAGCAAGGATAAATTTTCTGTTTCGGGGAAAAACTGGCATAATTTTTTTTTTCTGCTTGCTTCTTCTGTTTCTGTTACTCTTTTCCAATGCATTAGAATCCACCAGGCATTATGAGCATTTTAGATGATGTGTGTGCCACAATGCATGCAGTGGGAGAAGGAGCTGATCAAACACTGCTTCAAAAACTCCAGATGCAGATTGGGACCCATGAACATTTCAACAGCTGGAACCAGGGATTTATCATTCATCATTATGCTGGAAAGGTGATGTGGAAAGTGTTGACAGTAATGAAAGGAAGGGGGAAGCCCTGTAGTAGGCTATTGTGCTCCTTTTGCAATGCAGGGAACTTAGAACAAATGTGCCTTAACATATGTTCCTTATTTAGAAGAGGGGAGTCTGGGCCTTGCTGATATCAAACGTACTGACCAGAACTTAATATTAAATGTAACAAATAAATGCAACCAGTCTTTAATTATAATCTTAATTGTTGGTTATAGCAGCAGTAAATTTGAAGAATTCAGATATAAAAAAAAGTTCTTAGGTGATGATATACCAATAAAACTTGGAATGTAATGTACATTTCTGTCTTCTTTGGCTATATTTCCCAGACTATTCATGATTTCCTGCAGTTATAGCTCATAATGGTAAACCCTTATTATACAAAAATTGCACATCAGGAAAATTCAGTAATTAATTCACTTGTCTTATACTATTTACTAGCTCCATAAAAGTCTTTTTCACTGAATTTAAATATATGGCTGAAATTCCTTTGTTGTGAAAGAGTTAACTAAATATATATATATATGTATATGCATGCAAGGATTTAGTTCTCATCATTGTAGTATCTCTTAAGTTATACCAGACTAACCAAAAAGTTCAGAACAGCTACTGATGAGGACAGAATTTAAATTTTCTTTCATTATTGGGTTCTCAACTCACCACAAACAATCAATTTCCACCTTGGCCCAGGTATCTTATGATATGGATGGATTCTGCGAGAGAAATCGGGATGTTCTTTTCATGGACTTGATTGAACTCATGCAGAGCAGTGATTTGTACGTAAGCAAAACTTGCTTAAAGCTAGGAATAACGTGTTAGTTCAGATGGATGCAGAGGGCCTGACTTCTCCACTTCCCGACTTGTGAACTCATTTGTATCAAAGTGGAAATAAAACATCACTACAGTAGAACAGTATCACTGCATTGTATTGACCTTCTTGTTCTGCCAGTCTGAATAAGGTACCGCAGTGTCAGAATCAAATTCTGTAACAACAGTCGTTTGTTTTGGCCTTTAGCAAGGCTGTCAGTGATTTGACATTCTCTCAGAACAGACACAGTGTTTTAACAAAGTAACATCTTTTTATTATGTACTTTAAGTAAATGATGCTTATTTTAAGAATTTCATGTTTCTTCAAGTCTAGAAGTCTGGTGTCATGTCTTCCAAAGCTCAGTAAAATAGCAAGGGAACTCTTAGGAGAAATGAAGTTCATGGAAAATACTAAGATTAAAATAGATTTGATCTAACTCCAGATTAACAGAAATAGCTATTTATATTCTGCTCAAGTGTCAACTTTTACAGCATATTCCTTGACATTCCTGCATTGAATTGTCCTTCTATGGCAACACTAATTTATTAATTCTTTCCTAGGCCTTTTATAAAGGCTCTGTTTCCTGAAAATCTTCAAGTGGACAAGAAGGGCCGTCCTACTACTGCGGGCAGTAAAATCAAAGTATGTCTAGTTTCGCTGGTTTAGTATGTGCTTATATGGGTGTGTGTTTGTGTACGGATACCTAAATTAAAAAAAAACCAACCAAACAAACAAAAAAACCCAACACAACAACAACAAAAAAACAACACAAGCAGTCTTTGCTGCTTTTTACTGTCCAGACATTTTTAACGATAGACATCAGGAGTAACTCAACTGCAAAGGGACTCATTGTTTTAGCTGTTAGAATCATGTTTTGCCCAGCATCGCTGTTCATTAAATGTTTTGGTCAGCTGCATTCTGCAGCACTGAATTTTCCAAATGAGCAATTGATGGTAGTGATAATAGTACTTGCATGTGCATAATGAATGAGCCCCTTCAGGAAGCCACTTGATGTCCTACAATTAACTACAGATAACTGGTCTCTTTATAGTGCAGAAATGCAAGGGAGCCTGATTCAACACCCACTGAAGTCAACAGAAGTCTTTCTACTGACCATAATGTGCCTTGAATAAGGCAGCAAGTGTTAGAAGGCGAGCATCTTTTTGGAGACTGGTTTAAAATATATGCTTAGATTACCCACTTGCAGACTTTGGAAATGGATATTTTCTCAGCCTCTTTCCTTATATTTCACCCTGACAGTCAAGTTCACATGATGCATTCCTTGTCACTCCATACTTTTTTATAATAAATATATTACATAGCTGGTGATAACACTGCCTTCTATTTACTGATAAATTTTTCATGAGGTGCATGTTACCCCAAGACACTTTGGTTGTTCTGGAGAAAGGTCAAAGTCAACTGGATGCAGTCAACTGAATTGTCAGGAGATGGTGGATGATTTTTAAAATTCTTACAGGATTTGCCCCGTTCAGCTCAGATCCCATTGTTTTCCCTCAATTTTACAGAAACAAGCAAATGACCTCGTTGGCACCCTGATGAAGTGTACGCCCCATTACATCCGCTGCATCAAGCCAAATGAAACAAAGAAGTCTCGCGACTGGGAGGAGAGCAGGTACGGATAAACAGCGTATGTCATGAGAAACAGTGCAAATAGTCAAAAGAATCCACCAACATCTGTAAATTTGTAATCAAACAAAACCAGATACTCTTAAAACCTTTGTAAATGAAATCTGGCATGAGTTCTCCTAAACTCTGAAAATAAGCTGTGGTTGGCTAGTCTAAGTCAGCAATTAGTATATGCTGTTCATAGCTTTTCTCATATCAGTTATGAATAAGCAACATTTGCAAAATGGTACCACAAGCAATATATTAAAGACTCAGAATTGATATAGAATGCATTTGGTGTGCAAATTCTATGTGGAAAACTAACTTCTGCTTTATGCTTCTGTTTGGTAGCTATAAAGCCAGCAGGGTGTCTATATCCACTTACCAAAAAGTCTGTGTAGCCAAGAACTCAGAAGCTTCCTTTTTTTAATTCTCGGCTTTTAAGTTTCATTAGTCAGCTCTTTAAAAGAGTAGTCACTAGAATGTCATATGAGGTGGTTATATAGACAAATGTCTAAATCATCAGTTTGGTTTATTGCATCTATTTCAAGGTATCTTTAACTATATAATACGTTATAGCATATTCCTTTTATCTGCAAAAAGATACTCTTTTTTGCACCGAGGTGGGCGATCAGCATGGTATGTATACTATGTCAGGTCCTAATATAAGTAACATCTATTACTATATACCAAGTAGTTTTGGAATGGGTAAAAGTGCTGATAAAGCAGGTGGTTATTTTTATCCCAGTGAAACAAATTGCACTGTCTGATAAAAGCATTCTTGACCATATCAACCACACACCAGAACTCACTTCCTGCCATTTGGCATGCAGACTAGCACAATTACATGCAGATGTAGAGCACTTCGAGAAGCCACAATTGAGACTGCACTTTAAAGTGTCATTTAGGTCTTGGCAGTAAACGTAGACCTTCTTTCTCTAGCTTTTCCACCCCTGAAAATCCTGCTATGCAGCATTTCATTTTGTACTGGTACTGGGGACTGAAGGAGGAAAGTTAGGTGATCCTGAAAAAAAGTATGTCTAAAACTTTTAACTATAAGTTGAGGGGCTTTTAAATGCCATCCTTTACTTATTGGAAAACAGGCCTGTTATTGTGGAAGGTGTTGCTAGGAAACCAATGAAACAAATAAACAAAAGCCTAGTCCTGAGAAAATGCCAGCATTCAGGAAACTGGGTTTGGAGAAAAAATGGCAAAATGTCTTGTTTTCCCAAAATGACGATGGTATTTGGCAAATACAGCAGCTACTGATAAGAAATGTAATACAGAGGATTGAATACTACCAGACAAACAGAAATGGAACTAGTTCCTCTAACAGTAATACTTAATCCCTGTTTAAAAATCCCAACATTCTCTCCCATTTCAAACTATGATTTCCCATACTAGGAACTCAGATAGGATACATATACTGTAGCAGTTAGTGACATGTCTGGGGAGAAGAAATTTGACATGTTGCATATGACAAATTGAAGCTTAATTTAATTGTTTCATGGCTTTAGAGAAGTTCTGTGCTGAGGGAAATACAAAATATAACTTTGTTTCTCTGATATTTTGCTGAATGTTGGTTTAGAGGGGTTTTTTTTGCCTTCTTTTGTGATCACACAGTGCTGTATCAGATACGTGCTGCCATAGCCAATGTGATGGGAGTAGTATATCTCATCTGCTTATTAACAGCATATTACTAGACAGTGAAAATGTTACTGAAAAAGGAAAAAAACACCCTTCACAAATCCTGTCTTGCTTCATGTGCACTGAAGCCATGTAACTCCAGCTTTGTACTGCTGTTGAATAATTCCAGAGTACTTAGCACTGAAACATAGACCTTGTGTAATATCTAAAGCTTGCAACATACTTTAATTATTCAAAAAATTGGGATGTTCTTGAAATGTGCTTTTGTTCACATCCTGGCACAGCCACTTGGACTTGTATTCAGAATTGCTGCATTAGCTGAATTCCCAGACCCTGACCTGCTTAAGATTGGTGCCTGGAGGGAGATTTTCAGTGTGCGTTTTCTCAGAAAGAGAAGGAAAACCAGAAAAATGTCTCAAATTCTTTGTTGCTGGACATTAATACTGGCAGGACGGTAAGGAAATGGGAGTAATACTTTTGCTCCAGTGCATTATTCCAGATGTGAACAGGAGGGAAAGCTATAAACAGGAAAATATATTTTTATTCACCAACTTTCTACTGTACCAGAATTCCTGGAGTGGGTACAAGATATACTTTAATTCCTTGAACACAGCAAGATTAAAATGTGCATTATTATTTATTACAAGCTAAAAGAGCAGTGTCACTCATCATTTAGTAAAATACCTTGTAAAGGTTCTTTAAAAGGAATAAATAACTGAAGGGCTTTTGTCATTCATAGCATGGGATTTCAAAATTTTTTTCCTTTTGTATTGTGAGTCATGTGAAAAGAATGTCTCGACCAAAGTGAGGGGGAAATCGATGGGCAACATTACTTTATATCAAAATCTTAACATTTCAAAATAAGCTAGAGAAGAAACGTTGAATTAACCAGGAGTTTACCAGGTTTTGATATATCTTTTTTAAAATCAAGAGAACGTGGTAAACAAAACAAAATTAAATGGCTCGTTACAGGCTCACTTTTTGGATTATATGCAAAGAAATGCTATTTATTTTATCTTTATTAAACATGCAGGACTAAGATCGAAACCCTTATACTCCTGATTGAAAGCTAAAGCTCCCATAATTTGCCTTTTAAAAGAACAGCAACAGAAGCCCCTGAACACCATATTTCAGAGTTAAAAACTGACATGAATTCTTCCAGCCACATGACTTCAATGAGGAAATAAAGGAAATGCAAAGGAAAGCAGCAACACTCATACATTAAGGAAGCTAACTGAAATTCTTCAAATCAAATCTCCAAGCGTTAAATAGTGCGCTACTAGGATATGTAAGATGGAACACAAAATAATATACCACAACTCCAGAAAGAACAAAAGGTGCCAAAAGGAAGCGTTTTCTTATGCTGTTTTTCTGCTTTGAGATTCATAGGGATGGATTTATAGAACCTAAAAGAACGTGTTTTGCCTGATGGAACTGTAATAGTGTTGGGATAATGTTTCAGTTCCCTGAGCAACAGAGTTCATCCACAGCCATTACCACTTTCTGTGGGACTCTGTGTTTATAAGTGAAGTATGCCATGATCAAGCTTACCAGGCATGCTTCAGCCCCTCTTGAGCCCATCCTCAAATCCTTCCTTTGCAGCATGGTAAAGTGAGGAGGAATACTAGCTTTTCATTAATATACTGGCCAGGCTTCTTTCTGGTTCTTTCTGTAATGAAAGCTTGACATCTGGGGCTTTCTCTAACCATTAGATTTGGTCCTTTCTCATGAACAGACAAAAAAAAGAGCTACTGTGTGCTACTGTTGATGTTTGAGCTATATAAAACACAGGTGAAACCTAATAATAAAAGAACACAAAACAATTTCCCACCCCCTTGGATACCAGCTATGTAATTGTATAGGCAATAGTTACTTGGGCTTTTATGGGTAATAATAGTAGTTAAGAAATTTCTACATAATTAGTTAAGAGATGAGAGCTTAAACTAGGAAAAAATTACAAGGTAAACTTGCTGCATATATTTCAGTAACTTAGTCTACTTGCCTTGATTATTTTTCCTACCATGGAGTGTGCATAGTAGTGTGCAATAATAGATTGATACACCTGTACTTGAATTTTAGAAGTCAGTCTTTAAACACGTTACAGGCTTTTAAGAATACCTCAATCCACAAATACACTGAAATAAAACGGGTTATGAATCTTGCATTGTTTTTGTCCGCAGGGTAAAACATCAAGTGGAATACTTGGGTCTAAAAGAAAATATTCGAGTAAGAAGAGCTGGCTATGCCTACAGGCGGGTTTTCAAGAAGTTTTTGCAAAGGTAGGGTTGTACTCATTTTAAAGTATCACAGTACAGTTGTTTATATGAGGATGTGTAAAAACAGAAGTTGGAAGTTTTGAAAGCTCTCTTTTCCCATTTACCTGTTTCTTTCCCCCGTTTGTCTTGCTCACAACCTGGGTTACACAGAGATCTGAAAGTGTCTTAGAGTCTTTGGCTGTGTCTCCAAAAGCCTTTTTGTTTTTCTGTAAACTTGCCTAAGACCTTGGGGTTTTTGTGTAGTGCTAGGACAAGGTTCCTCCAAGTTAAAAAGAGTTAAGAGAACTTAAGATTTAGGAGCTGCAGAGCCTGGAATCTGGCTGTCTAGCTGCTAGCCTTTGTTTAAAGTGTTTCTGCTCTAGCTCTCCCAACTCTTCTTTTTGTAATGACAGCTGATAGGGAGTGAAATATATGCCTGCCATCCAACCATTTCAGTGTAAAGAGTAACCTTAAAATGCACATTGTGTCCTGCCACTGGTGTTCAAACAGCTGGGATTGGTTACAACTCAAACCACTGCAGCTGCTCACTGAATGGAAGCAAGTCAAAGCTCTCCAAGACCAATCCTTTTCTCAGTGTCTTCAGGCCAGCTGATAGATGGTTAACTACCTCTGCTAGCTAATGAAATCCTCTTAAATAAGAGCAATTTCAGGATTTATACAGCATCCAGCTTCTGTTTTTTAGAAAACTGAGACATACAGCTAATAAATGCCCAGCTGGGGCATTACATGACAAACCAGCTTTTGTTGGAAAACTGCATTGCAATTGAGAATATAAAGGAAAAAAACGTCAGTTATTGCAAGGAGTGGAATGTAATTAATCATCTAGTAATAGGCAGATGTAAAATATCTCAAAATATGGACTTAATGGTCATTATGGAACAATTCAAAATGCCTTTTTCTTCAGTCTTCAAGCCCAGGCATATAAATATGACTATGCTTCAGGTTGCATTACTTAACACAGTCTGTTACTGGGACAGAATAACAGCTTAATAATGTGTATTAAACACAGTTGTTGTCCACTGTCTGTGAGGCTGTGCAGGTCTAGAAAACTACCTGAGGGGTCTGCTCAAAGGAAAGCTACGTGGTGCTTCTGGAAGGTGAATGGATTTCTGTACTTCACTTGATATCTAGAGGTCCACAGACAACCGAGCCCATTCTTTATGCAGTTCATCCATTTGTTTCAAATTAGTCATGTTAATTTTAACATTTTGTTGTGAGTCAACCCCTTCTCACCACCTTTCCGTTCACAGTTCCCTAGCCTCCAGAACAAGCTCTGTTCTGCCACCCTGAGCCAGCGTGAGTAGCAGCGGGCTGAGGCATGGGCTGGGCGGGAAGCGCATGCGTGTGCACGCCTTCTCGTGGGGCGCCCCTGGGCAGCTCCCTATACAGGAGATTTCTGGGCTCCGTGGGTTTGTGTACAAAATTTACATTTGCATGCAAAAAACCACAATCACTGAAAAGGCTTATGTGTTCCAAAGCATAACCAGTGTGAAACCTGAACTCCATGCTTCCACATTGAGGCACAGGACCTAACTGTGAGTTTCTTACAGAGAACTTGGGGGAAGGGGAAGCAGTCATGACTTGAAATTGTTTCAGAAGCATTTTAAAAACACATTTAGTACTTGTGCCGAAATGCTCTGTAAGATCAAATTACACAAGTGTGAAAAGCCTAGACATGGGAATAGTGACGTGACCAGCAAATGGGAAGCACACATAAGTACGTTAGAGGAAAGTGCTGTTGTGCTATTTTAAACAGCAGTGAGCAACAATAGAGTTGCCACGTTACAAAATTGCAAAATGCTTCATGTTATAGAATAATCTATTTCTTCTGCCCAGTAGACTTGTCACACCGGTGAAATGTATGAAGTTAATTTGGGTTTATGAAAAAGGAGAATTGCAAATATCTTATTTTGTACCCAAAAATTTTTACATACATTAAAAGATCTTAAGTCACGTTTTTCCCTGTGCCCTCCTTTACGTCTCAGATGTAGGAAAGAATTTGTAACATACTGAAACATAGTGTCAAAATCTTGTATGGAAGGTAACGTTTCAAGTGCCTTGATTAACGTTGGCTCCTTTAAACTCAGGCTTGCTTAGACCCACCTGTACAACTATACTGTTGGCAGTACCTGGTGAACCTGCAAAAGAGGCTCTTAAATAAGCTGGGAGTTACTTTCACTTACAACTCCTTACTAGGTTGTATATATCCCATAATAGTGATAAATTACGTAACTATGTAAGTGTACACATTGACTGTAAACCTAGATTATGTATAATGTACTTCCATTTCTAAGATGGTGTAAGAGCTGCTTTGTTACACCATCACGCATGGTACCTGAGCATTTGTTAACTAATAATAGATTTGAACATGACGACATCAGTATACCCTTTTGAAGCCTGCTGAATTATTCATAAGTTAGCTTTCTCTTTTCATACACGTGCTATTCAGAGGTGTCTGGGGTTTGTGATGTGTTCCTTTTTAACTGTTTGCTAGTTTTCATTGTGTGGTATTGTTATTTAAGTTGCATGACACTGTTTCTGCTTCCTGGCTGGATAACATCTTGGATATAAAAGGAATAATTAATATTCCCTTAATGAATATTCTAACAATTCCTTGTGTGATTTTTGAGAACATTTTATTAGGAGCTGTCTAAATCTTAAGAAGAAAGAACTTGGGAATTAGAACAGACTGAACTCCATACTTTATAACTTTTTTCATTAGTTCAGTAGTTTTACAAATAAGCATGATTTAGTTTATATAACACAAGTAAGCTTAAGACACAAAAGTGATTGTCAAGAGTAAAGAATATAAAAGATTTTGGGGAGAAGCTTGTCACAACATATTTAGCTGTTCACTCTTATTGTCAAAGGAGTCTGAATAGCTGCTTCTAGAGAAGTTACTTATCCACAGGCACACTGAGGCAGCTACAGCCCATCAGTGCTCCTTGGTGGGCAGTAGAACAAGGCAGCTTTGTAACTCCAGCCTGGCTGTTCCAACAGGCCAAGTTAAGCCTAAAAATGCAGACAGTTTTAAAGGGGCTGCAACCTGGCACGCACCTAACTTTCAAGGCTTAAGGAGAATACCATGAGACAGAAGACTACTCATCGCTTCCTGTCAAAGACATGTTATTCTAGCTCTTGCCTGCCACCTGCCCTAGCCCTCCGTGTGGTCAGCTCTGAGTGTTTGCTCGAGGTAGCGCCAACATCGCTGTATCTTCCCTCTGGTACCAGAGGCCAAGCCAAAGGCTCTCTGGGATGAAGCCAAGAATGGCTCCTTCCTAAATGCGGACCAGCTGTTGAACAGGTGGGTTAGGACCATGAGCTGGCAACTTGCTGAGAAACAGAAAGGACCTTTGTAAGAATAAGACAGAGAAAAGGCTTGAGGGGGAAGTTTGCCACATGACTGGGCATTAATCTAGAACAGCAGGGAAACAGGTACTTAAATATGGACCATAAGTCATTACTAGAAAATAACCTTGCCCTGGACTTAAGGAGATCACAGCAGAACTTTCTGTAATAACTGTGCTGCACCTACCAAATAGGAACTTAGCATCTGGAAATGGGAGACTCCTGGACACTGTTGTACTTCTCATTGTAGCTGTTTGGTCTTGCGAAATAAGTAACATCTTAATACTGTGCATCTTGCCGTGCTGCAGGCTTCTGTAAATCCTGACAAATATGTAAACCCTCCCCCCAGGGTAATACTGACTAGGAGTCAGTGGTATGCTGCTGCTGCTGTTTGATGCCAGGTTTTATTCGCTTCTCTTTGGTGGTTAAGGTACGCCATTCTGACCAAAGCAACCTGGCCTTCCTGGAAAGGAGAAGAAAAACAAGGAGTTCTCCACCTGCTTCAGTCAGTCAACATGGATCCTGACCAATACCAGCTTGGGAAATCCAAAGTCTTCATCAAAGCTCCTGAATCTGTAAGTGTGGCAGAACACAAGTCCTTAAATGTAAAACCATTTTGGTGAAAGAAAAGGCGTGCCCACTCACAAGTTAAGCATGCTACCTGCTAAGGTGGGAGGAGCTGAAGAACATAAGCTTATGAAGAACATAAGCTGGGCAGGTCTGCCACAGGCACCTCAAGGCTGTAGAGGGATTCTGGGCACTTCCAGAATAAGCATTCTGTGAAAGGACCCTGCATGATTTTGAGACTAATACAAGGAACATTAAATGCATCAAGAAGAGGAGAGATGGGATATGAAGATGCTTTGGTGTCAGGCCACACATGGTGACATCCCATCAGAGAATCTGTCATATGAATATCATATCATGAAAACATCATAGATAAGGCCATCAGCCCAAGAAAATAGGTCCGCTTCTCAGTACAAGAACTACTGATGAAAACAGGGGAGCCCCCAGTTATAGTAAGGATGTGTTATTCATCACTAAGTCAGTGTTCCAGAATGATTGCAAATTGGAATCCCGTCCAAAGAGAACATTACGGAGGCATCATAAGGCTGGTTTTTATCCTGTAGTTGCTAAACTGCACAAAATCTATTGGGAAAAAAGTTTTCTTATATCACTATTTGGAAAAGTTGTCAAGGAAAAAGCTATGCTCTACTCACCGTCATCTGTTCCTTATTTATCAGAAGCAATCTAGTTTAGTTTGCACAGCATACCTTGCAGTTAAGGGTTAGGTGTTTTCTGGGTGCTTGACCTGAAGTTAAATATCAAAATGCAAGCAGAACACTTCTGTTGCTGTCATTTTCTTTTCCAGAATTTTTGCTCTGTGGAGCAGCAGTAGATCAGGCAATGACACTGCTGTGCCAAATCACATGGGAGGATATTTAGTAAAGGGAAAAAGATAATAGTTCTCTAAGCTATAACAGAAGTTGTGTTGTTTCTACCATAAATAGGGTAACATGGTGTCCTCTCTGTTCAGGAATAATGGACTTTACAGTCATGGCGTCTGAGAGGCATGTTTATATAATAAAGCATATAGTGTTCACAATGTAGGTTGTTAGAATGCTTAGGTGCCTGTTGGCAGAGAGAAAGTTCTAGTACAGAATAAATCCTACTTAGCCATTGCATGCAACACCTTAACTAGCCAATTAAGAAAAAGCGTGAGCTTCATCTGCCTTAAAAATTAAATCATGGGCCATGATTTATTTCTTAAGATTATTGGATGGGTTTGTCTTAAAAAGTCAGCATGATAGCCTTAGACATTAGCAAATGTCTTTGATATCTCTTCTTGTGATGTCTGTTGTGATTTTTAGTCCTTTACAGGTGACCTCAAGTTTATCATTGGGTGGTGGTGGTGAATACACATTCTGGTAAAATATCTATCTGGATTAATACAGACAACATAGTTGCCTTTAATCACAAGGAACTAGCTTGAGTCTTTTAAGCAACATTTGTCAGTCCTGTGTTCATTACCTTCCACTGTAGCAAGCCCAATTTTCTTTTTTAACACTGCAGAATTATTTTGCATTCTATGCCATTCTTTGCAGTTAGTTACAAACCAAATACAATCGCAGTTTGGGAGATAAACAGTTAAGGGAAGAAATCAAAATAATTTTTGCATGATGGCTGTTTTCTCAATGTTATGCTACTTTATGGATAAATCAAGCAAAAATCTAAAATACGTTTGGCTTCAGTTTTATATAATAAATTATATAAGGAACTATCTTCCTTTCTTGGCTGCTGAAATATCCTAAGCTTGGTATGTTTTCCCCTTACAAAAGCACAGATTTTCAGGAGCTGTGTCCACAAACAGGGTGGGTCTTATTCCTGCTTTTTTCAAAGAAAGAAGTGAAATCATTTGATGGTGTCTATCTTCTGTTTAATAACCAAGTGGCCAGTGTTCACATAGGGATTGATGGATTTAGTTCTTCAGTCTGAAGCAACCAAATTGTTAATAATTCTGTACTCAAACATATGCTCACTAGGTTGTTTCCACAAGGCAGAAATTGTTTCCCAGGGGATGCATCTTCCCATTCTAATGCTTTTGTATAATACTAAGTCCTCGTTGCATGTATGTGCTGTTTAATAGCGTATCTGTGGCTTTTAGTGAAGGGCAGGTTAAGAAACATGAGGTTGACTCAAAATAGTAACACTTTTTTTGGTTGCATTTTGATTTTAATTTCATAGAATGGCTTAGGTTGGAAAGGACCCTAGAGATCATCTAATTCAGCCTCCCTGCCATGGGTAGGGACGCCTCTCAACTAGACCAAGTTGCTCAAGGCCTCATCCAGCCTGGCCTTGAACACCTCCAGGGAGGGGGCATCCACAGCCTCTCTGGGTAATCTAGTCCAGAGTCTAGCCACCACATGAGTCTTCTGCTGAAGAATTTCTTCCTAAGATCCAGTCTAAACCTACTCTCCTTCAGTTTAAAACCATTTCCCCATGTCCTGTTGTTGGACACTGTTCTGGAAAGTCCTTCAGCCCTCCTGTAGCTTCCCTTCAGGTATTGGAAGGCAGTTATAAGATCCTCCCATTAATTTAAATTAGTGCTTTCAATTACTGTATACACTTTCTTTAAAAGAATATTTTTTGAAGAGTCCTGAAATCCAGTTTTAAAAGAGAACTAGAAATTATCTGGGCCTTTTTCATTTTAAGTTGAAAAATCTTTTATGAACTTGATTTGTACCTTCTAGTATCAAAGACAGTCATCTCATTACTAAAGTACTGGTTAGGATTATATTTCTTTTGAGAAAAACAGTATTTGATATGGTAAATGAAAATTTCTTTCTGCCACCCAAAGAGAGCACCTGTTACGGATTAATCAGATGAAAAATACTTGATGTGCTCAGGGTGTGAGGAGAGGCTTTATAATACATACTTTAGGAAAGAATTCATGCAGTATTTTTATTTCAGAACTTAAGAACTGTATTTTAACTCAAATGTTTTCATGGAAATGCCTTAAATTTGGCCTTCAATTGCAGGTAACAGACTATTTTGCATTAAGATTTTGCAATTAACATTATTGCTAGAGAAATAAATGGTGAGTATTCATGAGAGATGACATCAACATTGTTACTGCATCCATATTGTTACTGTGACCTGGATTGCACAAGGGCTTGACTGTGCCCCTGCTGAAGCTGAGGAAGTTTTTGCATCAGGACTGTCTGAAACTCCATCTAGTGCTTGTGTGTTTGTGAAGTTTTTTTTTTTTTAATAAGTTTGCTGTAGATGGAGAGTTGCCAGCCATGTAATAAGGTTTTATGGGTGGCAGAAAGGAGGCTTTGGTATTTACATTTCCATCAAACACCTGAATAAATAAGTCTGCAAAAGAGCAAATGAGGTTCTGCAGAAATAGGTTGCAGTTGATCAAGTTTCCTTTTTAAGATCAATATTAACAACAGTGTTTTTCTAGATTTGTATGGTTTAGGACAGCAAATTAAAAAAAAGGAACCTAAAGCCCAAGTTTGCTTCTTGATACAGCTGTTTTTATTAATTTTATCTCTTTGGAAAGCTAGAAGAAAAGTCCTTATGAATATTTAACAAAGTAGAGAGAAATAATAAACAACAGTCATGTCGGTGGACTGATTTAGTACTGTAATTGTTAGCCAAATTCTTGTGCTTCTGATGAGACAAGAAAACACTTATCTAAACTTGAAATATGTAAATGGCTGTAGTGAAATATGCTGTATCCTACAATAGTTACAGTGTTGTCCTAATGCATTAATTTTACATATATTTTAGTGGGACCTGGGAAATTCTCAAAGGGATGCACCTTCCATTTTTGTTTTGATAAATCACATTCTCTTGAATTCTGACAACATTTTAAACCCCAAAATCTTGTTATGTCATCCTGAAATATACAGCATTATAGCTGTAAATCCTGCAACCAGCTGCCAAAACTTTACTGCTGGGAAAGAATGGCACCAATGGACACAAGAGCATGAAATTCAGGCAGCGAAGAAAGTCGCATGTTACACATTGCAAAGATCCCCTAAACATGGTAGCATGCGGATAAGAGAAGTATGAACTTTGGAGAATGTGACGATAGAGGCTGGATCCATGCCCAGTGGATAACTTTGAGTTGCACCAGTAGATTATTTCAAGGAGCATCCATATTCCTCTCTTTTCATCATTGGGTATCAAGGTTATTAGATAGACTGTTAAGAGCCAGAACCACTCAGATGTTAGAGATTTCTTTTGGAAAATGCTTAACATTCTGATCTCAGATCCCATAGTTGTGGTAGAGGCACCAGCTTGAATCTGGAATGAAATGCACTGGAAACATGTTGAAGGAAAACAGCTTTTTCTTGGACTTTTCATGTAAAATGTTTGACCCACCCTTCTGTCTCCTTGTACAGTTATTTTTGTTAGAAGAGATGAGAGAGAGGAAGTATGATGGGTATGCCAGGGCCATCCAGAAGGCATGGAGGAAGTATGTGGCCAGGAAAAAATACGTACAGATGAGAGAAGAAGGTAGGTTATAACTTCTGATGACTGATACTTCACACGTGGTTCCAAGAATAGGAGTGCCATAAGAGATGAAGGGCATGCATCCTTCTGTAGAGCAAACCATTGCATTGCAGGTGAGTCTCTAGGAATGACTGCAAACTGTTGGACCCCAAAGGTACTACTGATGAGGTTGGCTGCTCTGCATACGTGGATTTCTTGGACTAGCCAGCATTTTGTTCCGAAAAGAAAGCCAGAATGACTAGGAGAGAGAGAGATGTTCCAGGGAAGTGAAAAAGAAAACACTTCATACAGTTACACAGGGCCTAGGTGGTCTGCAGGTGATACAAATGAATCCAAGGACTGTAGCACTTAGACACGTGATCTGAGTTATGTGAATGAACAACATTCTGGGTTTGGAAGAGTTAATTTTTAATTTCCAACAATGAGTGAGAAATTCCTCAGTTCCAGAAGTGTTCCAAATTTATCAGAACTGCTGAGCTTGCCATCAGTGTATTTTGTTACATGTGGATTTAATAATCGCACAGATCCTTACATAAGGGATTAATAGCAGTGCTTCACTACTTTTTCCATATCATAAGCAATATGGTTATCATTTCTTCCCAGAAAGTTCTGTTTGAAACAGCTATTTCAGATTATGAGTTTAGAAAATGTAGTAAATACAATTAATCAATGTTTATTTTTGGTATTTAAGCATCAGATCTGTTGCTGAACAAGAAAGAGAGAAGACGGAACAGCATTAACAGGAATTTTGTGGGAGATTACATAGGCATGGAGGACCATCCAGAGCTGCGCCAGTTTGTGGGCAAACGGGAGAAGATTGATTTTGCAGACACTGTAACTAAATATGATAGGCGGTTTAAGGTAGGTTTCAAGAGCAACATGCACTAATGATTAGTTCTGCTAGGGTGTCTTTACTATCCTTTAATGGGAACTCTACCATGTTAGTGTCATACCATCTCCGGGATACCAGCTTGAAAAAGCTGTCTTTGACTTAAGGCACACAGGGAAGCAGTTACAGCCTTGTGATTGGAACACTGCCACTGTCAAACCTGTTGTGCCAGGATGAATGCTTCTTGCGACATGCTGGGCAGAAAGCTAAATTAGTTAGGAAATAGTGTGGAATCTGACCCTGGGGGTCATATGATTAAGCACATCAGTGCTTTTTTCCACTCAAAACAAAGACTACCAGTATTGGCCCAAATCATAGTATATCATAGAATTGTTTAGGCTGGAAAAGACCTTTAAGATCTTCGAGTCCAACCATTAACCCAGCTTAGCCAAGTCACGTATCTTTGGACCAGCATCACAATGTTAGTGCATTGATCTCCACAGAGCTGTCTATTTTCAAACAATTTTGTGTTTCAGACGGTGAAGCGAGATCTTGTCCTCACTCCAAAGTGCATATACCTGATTGGACGTGAAAAGATAAAGCAGGGTCCAGAGAAGGGCCAAGTGAAGGAAGTCTTAAAGCGAAGGATGGAAGTGGAGAGAATTCTTTCTGTTTCTCTAAGGTCAGTACCTTGAAAAATTTCTTTCTATTGACAGAGAAACATGTATAGGACAGGGAAAAACAAGTTGATCGATGAAGGGTGAATTTTTAAAGCTTCATTAATGGCATCTTGTAAACAAAGAAAGCCTTATTTTCACTCCCAGCCCTAGTAAGTGTGTTACAACAATAGATGTTTATGTATATAGCCAGCACAAACATTTTCTGCCTAGTTGTTAAAATGATTCAATTACACTGCTGAGTCCCCAAAAATGCATTCTGTGAAGCATATATTCACTATGCTTAAGCAGATTCTAGAAAGTTTTGGCTCAAGCTTTTATTCTAGAAGTAATTCTTGCTTACAGAAGTACATCTTGTAAAATGTCCACCGCTTCTTAAAAGGATGTTCTCTCTCTGGTGAGCTACTAAAGCCTTTATTTCTACTTGGATTTCACATCACTTCTGTTGACTGAATGTCAAGCCAGTCTCAGATTGCAGGAAATAGCAGGTGTCCACATAATGCTGAAAAACCCAGTTAGGTGAGCAAAACCAGAAAGAAACTGGCCCTCTCTAGTGGATTCTTGCCTGTATCACTTCATCCCTTTGAAGATGAGTGAACAAAATCTGGCTGCCTCTGCATTCTGCAGTTTATCAGAGCTGGTAGCTGAGTGTAATTGAATACAACAACTGTACTTTAAATCCAGGGCAACAACTGTACTTTAAATTTAGAAATAAATTATGATTTCAATGCAATGTAAGTCCATACTTGAGTGCTGTGCATTTCTAGCTACTGCAGAGGTTTTAATATATGCTTATGCCCCCATTAACATAACCAAAAATCTTCTCACACACATTACCCAGTACTTAAAACCAACATGTTTCACACTTTTGCAGAATCCTTCACAGACATTTCAAGATTAGGGAAAGGTCTGCAAAAGGTGTCTGCTCACAGTACCATTTTCAAAACCTGTGGTTTATTTACCATTACATTTTTATAATGTACGTTGCAGCAAAATAACTGCAGTAGATCTAGGTCAAAGATGAGTGCAAAACATGTCTTTTTAGTGCTCAGAGTTTGGACTGTGTTCTGTGCAGACCTCGAGCAGACTGCAGCCAGACAGTTGAAGTGGGCCTGTAGCATTCCAAAGGCATAGTCACACTGAGTCAGTTAAAGAACAGCTGTCTGCCTAGTTAGCGAAAGCTGCTACACTCCTCTCACGTGTAAATAGCAGCTCCACAGAACCTTCCGAAGCAAACCCAAATGTGCTCCGTTCGGAGGAAACGTGTATAATGTTAGATTATGTCTAATAATGTTTTGAACTTAGCTTATTGACTTTGTTTTGTTGTAAAAAGCGTGGGGGTTTGTACATGCTAAAAGTAGATTTACAATTACAAGCCATCAGACTGTCCAGGCATTCCTCTAAACCCCTAAAAACACCTCCTGGGGGCAAGAGCTTTTTCCCTGTTATCATGTACAGCCTGTGTTCAAAATGGCTCTTGACCAAGGGATCTCTTAACTCTGTATTGAAGCGGCTTAGTAGTTCTAGAAGGCTCTGGCTGCAGAGGCTGTAAAAGTTCCTGCTTCTTTCAAATCTGAGGTATCTTGTCTCTGTGACAAGAATTAGTACCCATAATATTTAAGAGTGCAGTTAGTAAAATGACAACGAAACCTTGATTTAGTACATGTATCACATACTATACATTTTTTTGGGAGAAAAAAAACAACACAAAACCCAAAACAGTTTTTCAGATATCAGGCTCAAATCAAAAATGCTATTAGCTCTAGCTTGCTTTATCTCATGTGTTTTCAAAACTCCAGTTTATTATCCCTATAGTTTAAGCCTTCTGCACTGCTAAGATAATTAATTTCTCACTGGTCTTGAAGTTAAACTCAAACATTTGCACCTGAATAAAAAAATTGCAATAACATACTTCATGAACTTATCCAGAAAGCTCTCTTTATTTAGCTCTTTTCTGTATTGCAGCCTTCAAGGTTTATAAATTTCAATTCTTATTTGTATTATTTTTCATGCAATATTAAATTTTAACTAAATCAATATAAAATGAAATCTATTTTAAATGGAAGAGGGAGAGAGGATAACTAGATTCTTGCGTTGCAATCTAAACAATATCTCTTAAGAAACCCACACACAATATATTGATGTAAGCTTGCATCAGTACCCTTACACAGAATGAAGGCAGACTAATGGGCACTATTGACATGTATTAAGAGGAATTAACACTACACAACAATTGGAATTACTAAAGGAGTTGCAATTTAAAGTGCAAATGCCCAGCTTGGAGTTTGTTCAGAATACTGTCAATGACAACCCATATGCTATGTAAATGTTCTTGTGGTTTTAGTAACAATAAATAGCGGAGCTGTATAACTCACCCGATAAGGAGTGGCACAGGACACCCTAACTGTACTGTGAAGTCTAACTCTTTGCCAAATCAGCAAAAACAGGAGTGCTGATTGGATAATATTTACTGTAGGTCTCGGGCTTTTCTTATGTGTCTCAGTGAGAACCTTGCTGAGGCTCTAGAGTTGCTTGATGAAAGGAAAGGAGGTCATCCTCTTACTCTGTTTTTAGAAATTTCTTATTGCTATTTTTAATGCTATTTAGGTAAGTTTGTTGTTTCGTACACCCTTTTTCAAACTGGGAAAGATTTCAGAATTTGAAAGACGACTAGAGTGCATAGGTGATAGGTAGATTTTTAGAAAAGCAGACAGCAGTAGAACTCGTTCTTTAACTCAAGTAAAGGATGCCTCAAGTGGGTTGTAATTGTATTTTCGTACATGACAGTCAATAGCATCTCTAGCAATAGTGTGAAGCTATTTTAAATTCTGCATAGAGAGGTACTCACAGTCTGTAGAGTGAATCCTAGTCTTCAGTAAGCAGATGAAGAGTGAGGGTCTGCAAACTAGGTCTGTTTCCCCCTTTCAGATTTATAGATTCAGCAGTCAGGCAAAACAGCTGGGACAGAAAAAGGGAGGGGCACGCTCCAGGTAGGAAGCTGTTGATTGCTAGGCAATTAGATTCAGAAACCAGTGATGAGGGCAAACAGACCTCGTTTTCTCTGACAGAAGGTGAAGGCTCTTTCTCTTCTGAGCTGAATGTTGAGTTCCTTATATGCTATCATGAATTTACTTTGAGAGTTACTCTGAAACGTTGAAGCAATGCCTATATAGATTTAGGTGAGACAGCAGCACCTTCTTTGTGTGATTTAATGCTATGCAACCATTGAAAGAAGCTGTTTCTTAGTGACAGGTACATGACATTGGCATGCCCTTCACCTGGCCGCCAGAGCCACCTGCCTGGTTTTCCAAAGCCTTAACCACTGTGATGCAGACATTCATGCTCCTGAGTTATATATACTGGTTTTTAGAAAAAATAGTGAAAACTTATAATGAACGTTAATTCTAAATCCAGCAGGATTTAAAAGGTTCATTTCTCCAGAGACAAATGCAAACTGAGAGTGCTTCTTTCACTTAGTAGGTGATATCTACTGTATTGAAATAAATTACTAATACAGAATTGTATTTTCTGGTACTAGTAATAGCAGCAGCAGATTATCCAGCGACATTGACAATAGAGCAGAGAAGCTTTGACTTCAGGCTCCCTGCAGCAAACTAAACCACCATGAAAATAAGCCACATATTATCTGCCAGGAACACTTAACTAGTATCTAACTAATGCTCCTTTCTTCAATGGGTATAGTCCATTTTGTGAAATACCACACTGGTGGTGTGATAATTGTTTTGTGATAAGCAGTTCTCAGCTCTGCACAGTTGTCTGAAGTCCTGTCCTGTCTCTTCTCCCAGCCACACTTTTTCCTACATTAGCTGTCTCTCAGGTGGCTGCATGGGGATGTGGATGCGACAATGAAAGAAAAGGGAGCAGAAAACAAATCCAGCAGGAAAGGGCGGGGAATGGATTCTAACAGGAGGGAATGAACAGAAATGTGCATGAATAAAAAGGGTGAGGGGCAGAGGGACTGCTGCCCTTCTTGCCAGCACAATATTACTTGTTTTCCATTGAAATCGACACATGAAATCAGAAGTTTCTCGTCGCTTCTAATTCAATGCAGATGTGGGTGGCTGCCCAATGGGCAGTCCCCTGCCCTCCGTCACTGTGCTCCCACCATTTTCCTGTTCCCAAACTAGGACACTGATCTAGCATTGTGCTACCATGCAGTGACATGGTTCTGTAAGCTCATCCAGTGGAATGCTAACCAGCTTCAAAGTACATTTAGTTTACTGTAGGATCAGCAAATCAAACCTGACCATCTTAGAGTTCCTTATATGCTATTCAAGTCAGGAAGCAAGGTCAACTCCTGGAAAAAAAAAAAAAAAAAAAAAAAACCCCAAACCAACCAACCAAACCAACAAAACAAAAACAAACAACCCAAACCTGTTCTCAGAAAGCAAGACTATAATTAATGCTGCTTGGATTTTCTTCTGTTTTTAACAATTAGCCATGAGTACTCTGCAAGTGTCATTATAATGCCGACTGTATTTGCTGATGAAATGTTAATCTGAATGGCTAATGCTCTGATTTCTTTTCAGCACAATGCAGGATGACATTTTCATTCTACACGAACAGGAATATGATAGTTTACTCGAATCGGTCTTCAAAACTGAATTTTTAAGCCTCTTATCAAAACGATACGAAGAGAAAACACAAAGAAAACTACCTCTGAAATTTAGCAATACGTGAGTTATATCTTTTCAAAGGGCTTTTAGGAATAAATAATCCTTGTTTTGTGCTGCCAAAGCAAGTGACTGCTAGTTGTTGAGCTCCCCACACTATGCTTTGTTTTAAAATAAGAGACAGCACAGCGTAAAGACCTGTTATGTGCAAGGAGACCAGAATCCCAATTTATTACTCTGACAAGCTGATCAGGGATTGTACCTGGACCATCTGCTACTTTCCATGGTCTGTCTGTGTGCATAGGAGAACTGCCCTCATTCTATGGAACACGGTGTCAGACTGTAAGGGTCTGCAGCTCTGGGAATACAGATTCTCAGTCTAAGCTTTTTAATTTTATATGTCTGAGTTCTCTGCTGCCAAGTGATATTATCTGATTGGACATAGAAATGCTTTCTGTTTTTTTTTTTTTTTTTTGTTCATGTGTTCACATGCTTATATTAGACTTGAAGTGAAACTGAAAAAGGAGAGCTGGGGGCCGTGGAGCAGTGGTGGTTCTCGACAAGTGCAATTTATGCAAGGCCAAGGAGATATAGCCCTCCTCAAACCAAGTAATAAAGTGCTGCAGATCAGCATCGGCCAAGGGCTACCAAAGAATTCCCGTAAGTATGAGTTTCCTTTAGAAAGTAGTGAATGGTTTAGAATGCTTAGAGAATGGTTGCTTTTCTCGCCTTTCTTGCCTCCAGACTCAGCACATTCTTTATTATTTCTCTGTGAGACTTAGAAGATTCAAGTTATAGTTCATAATGATACAGTAGAATTCCATGCTGCTCTCCTGTCATGCTGGAATTTTGTTACTCTCACTATATACTAACTATTTCTGAACTGTCTGAACTTTTTTTGCCCTGTGACAAAAGAAATGAGGGCATTAAATCATGTGACAGAATACAAATGTCACAGTTAGCCAAAGCATTTTGGAGAAGGGTCTTTCACTCTGCTGTGAGCTCCTGCAGTTGCTACAGTCTTGCTGCTGAAGAAGGGTCTGCACTGGGACAGGACAGGTTGTGAGATGAGGAGAGGTAATTTCTACATCACCAAAGATGGAGCTGCAAATATACCAGCCTCTCAGGTTTTGTGTCCTACCTTTATCTCATACTAATTGCTGATAAGAAACAGTATAGTCAGAAGTCAACCCTCCATGGTTTTTAAACAAGTTCATAAAAGCTAATGGTCTTTTGGGCCTCATTGAGACATCTTTAGTTTATATCCTGTGGCTGAACTGGACCACCAAAGGAAGAATATGCTGAAGTCATCCTCGTTGCACCTAAAGCTTTAGAACAACCTGACCAACACTATAGGAGTCAGATTAATAATTCCTGAAGATCAGCTCTTTCTGATCCCAGAGTAGGGGTCTGGCAACCAGAAGAACTTACCCAATTAATTTAATTGTGAAAGGTTAACAAAATGTTGCTGGTTTCTTTTAGGTCCGACGAGACGGAACCTTACCCAAAGTAGAGGGTATTCCAACAAGTCTCAAAGCCAGACTTACCCTATGAGAGCAGCACCACCTCCACCTGGTAAGTCCTCTTAGCCTCAGGTATAAGCAAAATTCTAAATTCATGCTTTCATTTTACTCCTGTCATCTGGTAAGTTATACCCATTTTTTTTAAAAAAAGAAAAAAACCCAAAGGTTTAAAATCCTCTTTAAAAGAGCCTGTCTGGAAAACACACTGTAGGCATTTTATGCAATTGGAGCCTGCAGACACTCAAACTGATACTCTGCTAGATATCCTGGTTGTCATGGACACTAGCAGGTTCCTCCACCTCGTACAGGACACCAAATCTAAAACTAGCCCCATAGCCTCCACTTTTTTATATCTCATTGTCCTACCCTGCTAAGCAACAACTTTTGTGTATGCTGAATGCTGAGATGTATCAGCACCGTCTTTTCTACAAGGGATTGATGTCATTAGGGTGTTTCACTTCTGCCCTTGAGAGATACGATTAATTTAGCTTGTGAACTCAGAGGGGAGAACAATATTCCATTGACCCAACATTTCCCAAGTGTTTTTTTTTTACTTACACTCTCAGAGTACTCTTTCTTTAACAAAGGGTTCTCTTTCAGTCAGCTGCTGGTTTTTTTGAGAAGCATGATGCTAATGGTGTAAGTTTGGTGCGCAGCCAGTCTTAGGTCACCAAATTAACTAGACAACTCCCAGTCCTCATAGCTGTGTGATTCAAACTAGGGACTGCACACTCTGCAAGAACTGCTTATAGTAAAGTGCGAAATGACTGCAGGTACAGCAGTTAACCTGCCTGCAAACACAGATAGGAAATATTCCTATAGGATGCATTAAAGCAAGGAAAGGCTGCGTTAATGTTTTCAAAAACTCTTGTCAGCAGCTTTATAGCTACAGGAAAGAGACAAAAACAGTTGAAGAAGCCTTGTGCCTGCAGACCAAGCCCAGACTTGCATCACATGGGTAAGGTAGTTTGGATGTAGATTTGCATGCAAGTCCAAGGCACCAGTGGATGCCCATGCCTGCAGTATGGCCTTTTGTAATCGTACATCCCCCAGTGCTTATGCCAGTTTCTGAACAGAGATGTCAACAGACAAGCCTAATTAGAACAGCCTGTCTCTGTGTGCAGCAAGACACTGGGCTAACTTTCTGTGTGGGACTGATGTCATCAGGGCATTTCACCTCTCCCCTAGAGAGAAAAAAAATAATTTAGCTTGTGAACCCTGAGGAGAGAACAATAGTCTATGTTCATGGACCAGAGAAACCCCACTGTAGTGTGCAGGCAGGATCAGTGTAACTGCTGCAGTGAAATGCTGTCTTGACCCTTATGCATTAGGTTATTATATTTAAAAGGAGAGTAGACATATTTCATACAGGCTTCAAATCAGTTACAACTTTGTTGTTGTTTTAACACCTGTCTTCAGTCTTATTTTTCCAACATAAACAAGACTTCCAATTAGACTGTCCAGACTTTCAAGGAGTCTGAGGCAAGTTACTTGATTTGGGCACGTTCCTCCTTGAAAATCACAAAAAACTCTCTCCATCCTGTTCTTACAATGTGGGGAAGTAACACTGTGGGTCATCAGCCTTAATCATTTGAAATATACTCTTGCTATTTTCACATCTATTTTGAAATTAATGGTCCAGTAGATAAACAGATCATTATGTGTATGTTCAGAATAAAACAAACCTTTATTTATATAAGCAGAATGTATGTGCCATACTAGCTGAAGTTCCAGAGTGAGTTTGATGACTATTGAAACTCTGCCACAGTATCAAGAGAGTATCAGAAGCAAAGACCAGCTGTTCAGTGCAGTGAGGTTTTTCCAAGTGTCGTTATGAATTCTCCTCTCTGCACTGCTATTCATTAAGCTAATTTTCAACAGGCAATGGAAAAGGGAGAGAATCACACAGCATTAAGCAATCTGAATTTTAATATAAATATAGCTCCCATTTTATTCAGTGGGGGTTTTAGGAACATAAAGCATGCAGAATTGAGCTTCTTAGGCCCTGATCCTGCAAGGAGCTCAGACATGTATGTGAGAGGCATAATTATTTAAAGACATTTACCCTTGTCATCACTTAGAAAATTCAAAATCCTTTGAGCTATCAAAGTAGCACCAAGACTTTTTTTTTAACAGAAAAAAAGGCAAAACCCAAACAAACAAAAAATAAACAACAAAACCAAACCCAACCGCAAAACCCTAAAACAAAAAGAAACACAAGAAACCCCACTTGCTTGTTAAAACAGACAAACATTTATAGCATTTAAAAAAAAAAAAAGCCTACCCATTATTCAGGGAGTTGGACAGAGGACAGAGTTTGAACTTCTAAGAGACCCCCAGCAATTCTAGCTAGGTTTAGATCAACCCATATCTAGATAAAATTTAATGCAGTGTTTTAAATAGAGGTGTGGTGGTTACATGCTAGCTAACATTAATAAGGTTAGATTTATCTGAGAGCTAACCCTCTTGCTTGCTTGTAACATTCAAGGCACATGTCTTAACCTGGAGAACAAGTCCATGAAGATGTGAATGCAAAACAGACCACCAGCAGACCTAAAACTGTGCATAAACCTTGAAGATTTCAACATTGTTTATGAGTTCCTTGATAGCAGAGTCTGGTGGACAGCTGAATCTAACTGACAGCTGAGCTCTCAACACAAGGAAAAGGTTACCTTTCCGGAGCTCTAGTTTGTGTTAACTCTTTCCTTTACTTCTAGGTCAACAGCTAAATGGAGTACTAAATCCCCTACAGTTTGCACCACTTCCCCATGTCCCAGGAAATCAACGGGGCAATCAGAAAAACTTGTATACAAATATGACACGACCAACTTTACCACGGCAACTATCAGGAGGATCAGGCAAGATTTCACAGCAACCAGAAAGCTTGGATTTCCTAAAAGTACCTGATCAAGGAGCAGCTGGGTAAGATTTTACATTAAATCTGAGAAAAAAACATATAATTTTTTTTTAAATAGCTTCACATGCTCAAACTGTTCATGGATGATAAACTTAATATTGTGAACATAGATGTGCTACTGAACTGTAAACTGTACTTAAAGGTATCATCATTTCTATAGGATTTCAAAACACATATTCCATCATAAGCCTTTAGGAATGAAGGTGAACCAGTCCTAGTTTAATATCTTTAATTTGCATGGTACCTTCTACTTAAGATTATTAAGACACTTGGCTGAGTTTAACTGGGCCTTTTTTCCCTTCTGGTTTACAGACCATAAACAGTACACGTGGTGGTGTACTGCACCTGTCACACCCAGAAATGGTGGCTAAGTGTCCTTTTGTTTCAGCTCTGACTCCCAGCTTCTGCACCAGACTCGTAACTTCTTTTTGGGAGGGAGTTTTGGCAACATGATATTCAAGATTATTTCCTAATTGTTTGGACTTCCACAGCCTCCTAGAACATGTTACTATGACAATGCTACAAGACTTGGGGGTGGGTGGGGCTTCGTGTTGTAACTGGGTATCTCCCAATAACCAAGAGTCAAAATCATCACCAGAAGTAGGAGAAAGATGGAACTGAGGAATAAGGGGCTTAGCGGAGGGATGCAGAGCAAGTTGCTCTCAACTCTGAAACCAGCTGCTCCAGAACTTTAAGAAAATCTAGCAGCAGGCACACCCTCTGATTTGTGGAAATCATGAGGACAGGGAAGTCTTTTGTCAAATATTTATGGGACCTTAGTGCTCCAGAATGTTAAAGACCGTACAATATTTCAAGTTTTTCAATGACTCAAGTTTCTACTTTAACTATCTCTTATATTCCACTGTCTTGTAGAATATTAGTGGAACTTTACTATAGTGGGAATTTGAGGGCCATTTAAATGTCAAAGACTGCTGCCTATTCAGAAATTCTAGGAAAAAAAAAAAAGAGGAAAAAAAAACAAACCAAAAAAACCCCACACAAATAAATCCCCGAACCAAAACAACAACAACAAAAAAAACTCAGCAGCTTCCTATTGAGGCAATCTAATTCTGATGTAACAACTCTCAGAGAAGTTACTATGGGTAACATCTAGTTGTCCCAGAGCCTATTAAATGAAACAAAGAAAGTTACAGTAGCAGATAGAATAAAAATCTGCTGCCGTATGGTGTAATAACTGCATAGTAAAGGTTAACACAGTCACAACTTTATAGCCCACAGCTCTTCAGGTAAACGTACATGATAAATGCCTTGTTAAGTAGGAAAGCCCTGTGCATGTTGAACAAGCCATCATTCTTGCACCTCTGTCCAATATTGAGAGGACAAAAAATCCAGAAGATGTGGGCTGTTCCTGTTGAGAACTCTGTATTTGCAGGTTCTTAGTATTTACAGTTCAGTGCCTTTCTCAGCTTCTCTTCCTCCAAGTGGCCTCTCTCTTTCCCACCCTCCCAACAGATTGTTGCCTCGCTCTGTGGTGAGACAGCCTCTATAGCCCAGGCTCCGACAAGTCAGCTGTTGGCCTGGACTGAATCCTTGCAGAGGCTGAGCCTTCACTTACCACAACAGCTAGAGCACCAGATAGCCCTTGAAGGGGAATGTAAAAGTTGGAAATAAAAGCAGAGACACTTGCTGTAGTAAGAGTTTTGCCTAAAGAAGCACCCAGGTATTTCAAAATCTCCCATGAGCCCATTCTAATACCTCTTTCTTTCACCCTTATCATACATTGTCCACTGTAGTAATGCAGCAGTAGTGACGGGCCACGTTCAAGTATTTTTGTTGTTGTTCACTAACACTTGTCATATTTTTACTCTGAGCTGTCAGTTGTGACCCAAGCTCCTAGGCCTGAGAGCAGATCATTTTGTCAAATGTGGAAGAGCTTGCACTTAGGATAACATGGAAGAAATAAAGATTGAGTCAAACTTTTACCAAGCTCCTGCTTAACCTGCTGCAGCCCCTTAATGTATTTGCCCTTCAACCTGAGAATATTTTGAGGGATTAGATGCAACAACTCGGTCCCTGTCTCCAGTGACCCATATGAATGGCAGGTGGTGTGTTCTTAGAGGCATTAAAAAAATTATTTATTGCCAAGATTATCAAGAGCAGTTTTTATACCAACAGACACTTCTCGGTTGTCAGTTGGTAGACAAGCTCCTCAGCAGATGTTCTGCACTAAATTCCCCTCTAGGCCTAAGCGTTCTTTTATGTGTGATTGTTCTGCCAATGACTAGGCCTAACACGAGTGACACAACCAGCAGGAAGATGATCCAATAGGTGGAATGTATTGAATACAAAAAGGACATTCCATGAACGATCGCTGGGGGCACAAACAAGTCAATTAGTTCACAAGCAATTAACATTACCCCCAACGATCCCAAAAAAGACATAACCCGACCGACAATAGGTGGTACAAGCAAAGAGCCAAGGTTTCCCATGGATGGAATGGGAAACAGCCAGGTCAGGAAGTTGAGAACATAAGATAAGGGTGGCCACATGACAGCTCTCACCCTCCTAGCCCGCATCTGCGAAGGTCCAAGCTGACCAGGGCCCAGTTCCAGGAGAGTCAGGAGGTCCTTCCTCAGCCAGGAAGCTCTGTGGAGTGCGCCCACTTCACAGACAGATGCTCCTCCCTTCCTGCAAGTGGTCCCAGCTTTTATCCCCAAGCAGACACCTGACCTTTGGTTACCAGTTGCAGTATACCACAGTTCCCAATGCTGTGGGCACTCTATTTTCCCATTTACCATTTTAAATGGCAGGTATGATTGATGTAGTTCAAGGGAAGAAAATAAACCCAACAAAATACACTGTATTAGAGTGACATCTTCACTGTCTGCCCCAGTTTTCCCTGGTAACTGTGTATGCTCAAGAGTGGTAGAAGAAATCCCACAGGCAGCCACAGCAGTAATTGCAACCAGAGCCCGTAGGGCACAGGCACCCATTGCTTCCCTGTGGATGGTTCTGAGGAAGTCAAGATTCTCTACAGGAAGCTGCAGGAAAGACAAAAATGCGCTTACTAATATAGCCTATGATTCTGAGGAAAGAGGATGTTGGGGAGTGAGGATTGTTCGTCTTATTCTTTTGCTTTGTTATGGTTTGTCAGTTTGGGGTTTTGGTTTTGTGTTTTGTTTTTTCTTTCAAAGCAAGCCAGGGCTATCAGCAAGGTGCAGTAGCAATATGGGTGCTACCATGTAAGGTAAAGGAATATCTAAATTTAAAGGGCCTGGCAAAGTAATTCCTTAGACTTTAATGTTCTGATACATAAGTTGCTGCCTGTCTAGGAACTGGAGCATTTTGACACAGCATATTCAATGCTTTGTTAATGCAAATAATACCATGTGCTGAGCACACAGCCTATCAATCAGTGTGATCCCTGGAATATTGATAGAACAGTTTCCATCCCTACCAGCGCTGAAGGTCACCGAGGCCTGTTTCAGTAGGTGCTCTAGGCGGCACGGAGCGTGGCGGCAGCAGCAAGGGTGCCGCGCTGTAAGCAGACCCGCGGAGGGCCGCTGCAGAGACACGGCGAGCT